TTTGTATTCATTTCTCTTAAGAGATCTGAGAGTGATACAGATATTCATGTGAAATTCTTGATGAATCTGCAGTAGTATGAGATCAACTCAAGAAACTGTCATACATAATATACATTTCTCAGTCATGATTAATTTGCTATGACATTCAATTTCTTCAGAATGAGATGTATACAGTCATCACTTACTACATATCTCATGAACTTCAACTCTTTCATTTCAAATACATACTTGATTGATTTGATGTAGAGCTTATACTCTGTCAGAGTTATAAGCACTTTATCAAGATACTTCAGATATTCATTATATGAGTTTGAAAAGACTAGAATGTTATCAAGATATATGAGATATGAGGTTTTATTCTGTTTATAAAGAATTATATTCATCATCATTTGAAAGATGACAGACACATTTATCAGACTGAATGATATTACTAGAAATTCAAACTTTCTTCATTATATATTAAATACAGTTCACAGAACTGATAGTTCATCTACACAGATCTGCTAGTATTCTAAGAGAAGATTAATCTTTGATAGATATCAGATATTTATAACTGTATTCAACTATTGTTGAATCTGTAGTAGTGAATATTCATTCTTGATTATAAGCTTATTAAGTGCTTAATAATTAATACATATTCATCACTCTTCATTCATCTTTTTTATAAATAGAACTGGAAAGCCTCATGTACTTGATGAGAATTATATAAGATTATATTCTAGAAGGTCAGTGATCTAATACTTCTGTTCTTTGAGATGTATTTGTGACAGAGAGTACATATTCTGATTGACTGATTTTGCATTTCTCATGTCAATCTCATGTATAAATCCTCATTCTGACAGTAATTCTGATGAAAGATCTGTTCAGAAGATCTTCTCATACTTCTTCAGAAGCTTCTTCATACACTTATTCTCTTATATATTATTTATCTTAATTTTCTCTGCTTTCAGATTCTGTATAATATACAGAATACTTTTAAATGTGGTCTTATAAATCATTCTCTTTACTTATTAATGCATAAGCAGATTTAATTCTTCTATATCAGAGATATGAAATGTTCTTCTTATATTAGTTGATAGAATTGTATGAATCATTTTCTTTCTATCAGTTAACTGTATATAACATGTACATCATTGAATCTGTGAATTGAATCTTTGAAATCAATCAAGTTTAAGAATAAGATTGTATTTCACATTCTGCAGCTCTCACACTTAAATATAGCAAGATCATTCTCTGAAGTGTAAGGAAACTCTTACTCTTACAGATAATATCAAATATCAGTTATCAGATAATTTTATACATCAGAGATTCTTCACTCAGTGAACTTCTTTCAATCTTCAGATTATATAATCATTAATATATTATGTAGAAGCTTCTGTATTCACTAATACTTTTACAGTCATCTTTTAATTCTTACTCAAGTGCTCTCTATACATTAACATTTCAGGTCTTAAGATATTGAGATAAGTATTCACTTCATCATTCTTATCTGTATTTTATTCAGAAGCCTGCTTCTTCTTTGCATTCACAGAATTCAGAAAGTCATCTAACATGAGCATCTTCTTCACTTTGAAGACTTTTCATAGAATATCAGTGAGTATCTCTGAGCTTACTGATTCTGCTAGTTTTTTAACTGTGCACACTGAGTGTAATCTTTTACATCATGATTTTAACATCTGCAGTTGAAACAAGCTTAATACTTGTAATATCAAGATTTTCATCTAGAGAATTTCTTTTTCAGAGAATTCAGTGCTTTAGCAATAACATTCAGATCTAGATTTATTATATTCAGATGTATAACTTATGTTATAGAAGTCTGATTATCTGTTCTCTGTTAAGATATACTCAATTGCAGTATTTTCTGTTATAATTGACTTACTTATTTTCATACAATGAGAATATTATATACTTTCTTCACTGTGTCTGACTGTGAGATTAAGTATTTTCATTTCACTCTCAACTCAGATATAAGATCATGAATAAAGATCTGTAAACAGAATAATGTTGAAAGCTCTTCATTTAATGTAAGATAGTGTAAACTGAAGTGTGTGAAGTATAATATAAGATTACTCACTTATCTATACTTAGTGAAGTATTTATAACACTTATCTTATATATTCACTTTCTCAAAGTTGTACAAGATTCATTTGAAAAACTCATTTCATATTTATAAGAATGAATATCACTTCAGATCTGTGAGATTTATCTTTTTATTAGTTATTTATAATAACTTTACTTTTCTACATAGAAATACAGTAAATCTTAAGACTTGTTGAAATTTCATTAACTGTCTGTCTGTGAGTTCATATTTAATTTAATAATATAATTATATCTGACTTAGTCAGCTGATTACAGCATTATTTTTTCAGTTATCATTGAAGTTTAATGACTTCAGCAGATCTCTCAGCTTGATATATTTTATACTTGAATTCTCATTCTGTATAGTAGTCTCTGATGATATGTACACTTCTGAAGAGATTGTAAATAATCATGATAAAATCTTCAAATTTAGTGTAGTTATCTATCTGTGTAAATATTTAATCTCTTACTATAGATCTAAGATCTGATTTTCTCTATTCTTATTAATAATAATAATTATATTAACAAAGCTCTTCATAGTGAATACTTAATCTGCAGTGAATATCAATTGTTATTTAACTTCTATCTCAGTCTATCACTGTGTATACAAGGTCTTGATTTTGTTTAGAATTCTTGTATATATACAGAGCTTTAATTCTGATTCAGTAGTTTCAGCTACTTTTCTTACTACTTTGAGTAAATTCTCTGAAAGATTCTGTATATCTTTCAGTTCAGATAGCAGAGAAGAGTATTATTCATATTAGTTAGAGAAGATATTTATTTCAGTGATTTCTTATTAATTATATAATATCTATTATTATATTACTGTGTTATTATATTAATATATCATTCTATCACTATATCATTATATTACTATATTATTATATAATTTCTGTTATTATTATATAACTTCAGTGATAATCACTCTTCTCTTTTATTTCTTTAAGTGAAGAGCAGTTTTCTTTGAATCTGATTCACTACTCTTATCTCTTTTCTCACATCTTATCTATTTGTATACATGGTATTTATCTGAATGTGAAGTTTTCTCTTAACAAGTGAAGCAGTAGTATCAATCAGATACTCTTTCACTCATCACTCTTTATACACTATCTTTTAAGATGTTTTAGAATCACACTGACATAATAACTATAAATTGCTTTATAGACAGAATTATCATACTCTGAAGAAGTCTGCACTTCTCACCAGTTTTTAGACATGCTATCAGATGTGATTCAAAGATTGCTTAAGCCAGTATATGATTACAGATGTACACTGGCTTCTTATATTGTAATCTTGTACACTAAATTAATTAGTGTACGCTATGGCCCCTTTACACTCATACACATACACTAGTAGTTCGGAAGCGGCCGTGTACGCTAGTAGTTCGGAAGCGGCCGCGTTATTATCCGACAGTCATACGTTCTTCCGAACCACATAATAAATATAAGAATCTTACTTTTATATAAGATTAGCAGATTACTCTTTCTTAATAATAAGATGTTACTGAGATATCACTTCAGCTATTCTCACTTATGAAATAAGAGAAAAGTATTCACTTATTATTTATATAGAATAGCTAGATACTGACTCTTTATTAAAGAGATTAGTGATTTATTTTTCTTCTACTGAAATATATATAAGAGTTACTATGTTTTTTATATAATCTTCTTAGTATATTAAGTATTATATCTGTGATATTCTTATAATAACTCTGTAGTCTATAAGCTTGCTATTTAAGTAAAATAGTTAAGCTTACTTATACAGCTTTTCAATAACTATCTCTATATAATATTACTGACTAGTTATTACTTCAGTTCTATTATATTACAGATAAATGAAATCATCTACATGAAAGTAATAAGCTGTATGAAACTGTAATAAGATCTTAATATAATCAGAAGTATAACACTTCTTTACTTTCTTTTAATACTACAGTTAATAATTAATTTAATTGACTTATTTATATTTTTTTCACTTTTAAAAAAATATAATACTGATAATTAATCTGAGTTATAAATAATAAAATTCAGTTAATTAATAATTGATTTAATTAACTTCTTTTTTTTCTTTTAATATTATAGTTAATAATTAATCTGATCTGTAATCATTTAATTATTTTTTTTCAACACTGCAGCTGATAATCAGTTGTAATTATTTAAATAATTCAGTAAAATGTCAATTGATAACTACATAATTCACTTTGTAAACTAATAGAGATTGACTCATTAAAAATAAGTTGATAGAAGTATTACTAGATTCTTACTCTTTCAGCCTGCTATATAGATTTCTAGATATGAATACTAATAATACTACTATTTGCATTGTTGAGCCTTTTTTTTTTTCCCGGCCCTGAAGAGCTTGGTCTATGTGCAAACTGTGCTTGAAATCACGCAACACCCACTTGATCATTCACTCTGACTTGAGAACCTCTCTTTGACTGGTGGTCACTCTTCTGGCTGGAATGCCAGCATTTGATACATCAGTTCTAGAGGAGCAACTGTTACCTCCCAATCAAACTTACCTACTCAATGCTTCAATACTTCCGCTCACATTCCTCAAATGCTTCATCAATTGGAGGCCACACATCCTGGCGTTCTTTCGGACGTCTATCCTGGTTGAAGAATTGACTCCGTTCGTCCCATCGCTCCCGTAAGTGGGTTGAAGCTTGGTACTGATCCTTTTTTGGCTCATTTACCTGTCGCTTTCAATATCGCCCCTTTGTGAGGGTCGAACAGACGTAGCACGGGGCTTCAGCTTTCACAGTCCAGGAATATTGTGAAGTCTGCTAAATTAGCCCTGTGCGATGTGTCACAAACTGAAGGCATAAGCTAAATAGGTACCTAAATAAGTACGGAGAAGCCGCTCACCCAAGATCTCTCAACTAGTTCAAGTTTTAACTCCTAGCGAACTTGGATGGATTTTCAAGGAGTCAAGGATCCCCTGGATATCCACTCAAATACCTGCATTCCTGGCTGATCAAAGATCATGTCTATCCACAAGAACCGCTTGACCACCCCTCGAACCTCAGTCCAAGTCCCAAGGCCAAGCGTGGAAATAGTTTGCACCATTAGAACTTGCAACCACCCTGCATCGAAATTATCAAATATGGATATGGCTGCCACGAACGTACTCCAAAGGAGTAACTCGGCCATTTCACAAGAAGTCTCTGGGAAGAATTGCTGTGCACGCAGAGCCACTTCCAGTTTGTTCGCTAGGGACGCCATCTTCCTCCCAACACTCCGAATTTTGACCAAAAGATTCTTGACATAGGCTAGCATGCATAGCCTCAGCAACTCCGGAAGTGAAAGAGGGTCGAATTGAAGATGAAGAAGCCGGTACGGAATCGATGTGCTAAATTGAGAAACGAGGCTCTTGCTCATCTTCACACCGGTCTCATCCGCCTTGTTCGCCGCTCTGGAGAATTCCCGAATATCAGCCCAGATGTTCAGGAGTTTTGGGTCTAGTTGTGAGTGAATTGTCCCTAGTTCTGGGAACCTTGTCGTGGTGCTTCCTCGTGCAATCTGAGGGCTCCAAGAGACCTCTCCCTGGATGAAGCGTGGCGTGCTTCCTGTTCCCATTGCAAGTCCGAGGTCGATCCTACACAACTTCCAAATAAGTTACATCCTTGCAACAGGCAAAAAGAAGTTTGTACTAACATTTGCGCCTTGTGAACGATCATGTTCCCTTCTGCCAGCGAACCGACGCCCCCACGCAGCTCAAACATTAGATACAGGCCATCCATATGTTTCTGCGCAGCCTCGATATCTCCTGTCATTATTGCCGCAATCGCCAGCGATGTCACAACAGCCATTGTGGTGAGTTTTGTCGCCTCCTTTCTGTTGTTTATACGTTGCTGGAGATATACGATGGCCCTTGTCATATGGAACGTTGCAACCCTGCCGTACGAAGTCCCCAGTGACAAGTCATAGAAAGCCTGTGCAACAAACAGCATCGAGTGCAACATTCCTGGGTCTTGAGCCAGATTGGAGAAGCGAAACAGATCGTCCCTCGCCCCACTGGCAGTGATCGCCTGCAAGGTGTAAGTTGATGGCTTAACGACGGTAAACGCTTCCATGGCAAATTAGCGAACTGCGTTCAATAGACCTAAAACGGAAGCACTCGGGATATTATTCCTTACACCGATAAATGAGATCAAGCATATATGGTTTGAGCTCAACCCCGTAACTGAAAAGGGATAGCTCCGACGCAATCATTCGTGGTGTCGCGAGGACACATGCCAACTCATCATCGTCTTCAGATTCTAGATTTCGAAGCGACTCTCTGTTCTGTCTGGACTTGCGTGTGTTCTTCCCGCGCATGACATGGCTGCGGATTAATTTGCGTGTCTTTGAGTCTGGCTTGTCGAGAGTCGTGCTAACGATAAACGGAATACAATTTTGTCCCGCTGATGCCATTGTTTTGAGCCTGATCGTTCGAGATCCGTCGCGTCGATGCGGGTTGAAATATTGTTTTTTTTTTCCCGCTTGGGGATGAGGCACGCAAATTGCTGCGCCCGTGCCAAGAATAGATTGTATTCCGATTTGGGAATGGTTGATCTGGACAGATGTGACTGCAAAACATCTCTGAATACATTGGATAAAAACTACGACTCTTGATCATCGGCGCCTGGATACTACCCGTTTCGTCCCGAGGATTAGGTGGATAGAAAAGTCTATATAAGTCGCCCTTGACCCCGTCGATCAACTCACGGATAATCTGCTACATGCAATATCAGGAACAAAACTCGATACTTAGTATATATACCAGGCCCCTCTCCATTCTCACCATGTCCTACGGCAATACCTTTGATCCTGTAAAGGATATCCCACCGCTCAACAACAAAGTAATCCTCATAACAGGAGGAAACAACGGCCTCGGAAAGCAATCCGTGCTCGAATTCGCAAAACACAACCCCAGTCGTATCTGGCTGGCGGCGCGCAATGTCCAAAAGGCGCAACAAGCCATCGACGACATCAAACAGCAACTGCCCGAAGCATGTAAAACAACCATTAGTATCCTGGAACTAGACCTCTCCTCTTTCGAATCGATAAAAAATGCAGCAAAGATCGTTCTTGCAGAATCCGACCGCCTTGACATCCTCATGCTCAACGCGGGCATCATGGCCGTCCCCCCGGGCCTCACAAAGGACGGTTACGAAATCCAATTCGGCACAAATCACATGGGCCACGCACTTTTGACGAAACTACTTCTTCCACTCCTGATCAAAACGGCTGAAAGCGGCAGTAACACTCCAAACGGAGGAGACGTGCGAGTCGTGAGCCTATCTTCCCATGGCCATACACATCTCCCCAAAGGCTGCTTCAACTTTGAGTCTCTCCAGACCACAGGTGAAAAACTGGGAGCGTACACATGCTACTTTCAAAGTAAGCTTGCGAACGTTCTGTGGGCAAGACAACTAGCGAAGTTGTATCCGCAGTTCACCGTTGCAGCTATCCACCCAGGCGTGGTACGAACGCAACTGATGGAAGGGGCAACAGGCTCAGCAGCAATTATAAGAATGTTGGTTAGAGTCGGGAGCAGGTTGTTGACGCCTGTTGATCGGGGAGTCAGGAACCAGCTTTGGGCGTCTGTTTCGAAGGATGTCCGGAGTGGAGAGTACTATGAGCCTATTGGGGTTAAGGGGAAAGTAAGTGATGATGGGAAGGATGATCAACTGGCGCGGGAGCTGTGGGACTGGACTGAGAAGGAACTCAGAGCACATTGTGTTTGACTTGAAAGGAGTCTTCTCGGTCTGGGTGAAGGTCATTTCCGAGTAATTGGGATCATGTATCGAATGATCGTTTATTGGGGCTAGGGTGCGGCGAGGTAGATAGAGAAGAATTAGGTAGAGATTAAGGCCGGCGGGAGCCTATGCTTGTTGAGTAGTCAATGGTCAGCATTGTCATGCAAGGCTTTTGAACAATTGAGGCTTCAGGTACAATAACCCTCAAGTAAATCAACTAATAACTTGAAGAAACCAAATTTTCGGATCAAAATATGCACAAGGTTCAACTAAGCCTTCTTTTAATGGGTCCCAAGCACCGTGTAGCTTGCATTGAACCGTCTGAAAATTGTCTGTGCCTAGCGCGACGAGACGTAGCCCACACAGGCTCGTAGAATCTAGCTTCATCAAAGTTTTTCCAAGATATCCCGTGGTGGTACCATCGATGGTAAACAATCCCATACAGAAAAAAAGAATTAGTCTCAACACAACGGAATCGAAGCCAAATCTCCTGCGATAGGTGCAGGCAAGCAGGTTTTTTTTTTTTTTTTTTCCCTCGCCATAACATATTAAAAGCGACCAATCTCGTTATCAAAACATGATCCTACATGTAGGCAAAGACTTTTTCCACATTCTCCACAACAGCTTGTAGTTGACAGCATGTTGAAATTCGTCGGGGTGATGGTGAATGTTCCAAAGCGCGCGTTGGATGTGACCCACAACCTCGCGGGTCATCCTCGTCCCCGTTGTAAGTTTCGAGTCCTTAAAAGTCGCGGTACATGCGCCCGCGCTCGAACCAGAATGCAGGGCTTGGAATAACACCTCTGGCGTACTGCAAGCTTTCCATGTCACTATAATCCAAAAGGCCATAGATCAAGTGGAGAATATCCTCAGGTGAATGCAGCCCAATCTTTCTTTGTTCATCAACATTGCCTTCCACATGTAGTGCCGCAAACAACTCAGCATCAGAGTCCCTGATGCGACACAGGTCTTCCTGAGAGAAAACAGGCTCACTGACATGCCTCATCGTTGGAAGACACGACGTGAGATGCTCCAGATACCTGCAAAACCGTGACAGCCACTCACGATCTATCGATTGGGTCCCGGTGTTCAAGGACGTGAGCAACAACCGTCCAGCATGTGGCATGGATATAAGGAGTGCGGACTCGACCCTTGTAGGTAGGGGCTAATAGAAACTCAACCAGGCGAACTCACTGTCATCTGATGTTTCAAAACCCTCACTGCAAAGACGACAATACTCACCACTGAGAAGCATGTCAAACTTGGCCCGGTTCCAGCACCGCCCCTCCCCATCGCCAGGCCAGCCTGCCTTCTTCATCTTCCTAGCCAGCTTATCGTAGCTAAAATCATCGCCAGAATCAGACCAAGAGTCAGGTTCAGACTCATATTCCCAGCCCATGCTCTACCCATCACAGATAGGTCCAACAATCCAGTGCCGATCCAGCTTAGCTTCCGGTACCGCTCCTTGCAGAGTGCAAAAAAGTCAGCAAGTTCGTACACATTGAAACCATACCGGCACCACTCATTCGCCTCATCATACTGGCCGTTCAGGTCGCCCCAGTAGATGCAGCCGTCGTTGGTATCCAGGATAACATCATAACCGTTCCTGCCCCTGCTGATCGCGATGGCGGCGCAAGAAGGTGGAATCGCCGGGTCTTGCCCAGTATATGACGGAGCAACGCCTTCAATCTCGCCCTCGCGGATATCTTTCTATGTATGCTCTCACGGCGGTAGTCGAGAATCGGCGTGTTAGTCATGATGAGGGGCGCAAATCCGTTTTCAGAATAGTCAACGTAGGGCATGTTGAAGAGTAGGTCGATCAAAGTATCGCTCCTCTAGAGGCTGGCCAAAGGTCTCCTGGGTGATCGAAGGCCAGCCACCAGCAGGAGCCTGCACGAGAGGGGTATCCGCCTCCCAGAAGACACAGCTACAGAAGTTGTAGTAATCTGTCATAAGACAGATGAATTCATCTCGATCGTACGCCATGATGGGAGTGATGGGAGTCAATGGCTCTCTGTCAGTTCGGTAAAAAAAAAAGAGGTATTATACAAGAAAGTTCGGAGGCCACGTAGTTAGCCGAGTAGACTAACTTCTTCTGGCCTGGATGCTCTCACAATAATGCATTACTGCGTATTGTTCTGAACCAAGCAGTCCATATCAACTTGCAAGGTACCACTTGATTCAAGCACCACTTCTCTCCAACAAAAGGTTCCATCAACATCCCCCTTCAAGAGTGGTACTAGAAGCTAAGCTAAATCAGACTTAGCTCATGAAACTTATCTGTGATGAGGAGGAACATGAACTGAACATATGAGTCTGAACAATCAAAATTAGATAACTATAAATGCCCAGTCCCCAGTGGACCACACAGGTTATAATTTTCCACGCATCCCTCCCACATAGCTTTAGACAAGGCCATATCTTTCCAAGGGATAAAAGTGCTTGACAGCCTCGCCGCTGAACACATAGCTCAGTTGCAGTTAGATGTTCATCATTGTAGAATAACGCAGTTAGGCTGTTGTTATATTTCAGAATCTTCAATGAATTCAGTTGCTCGGAGGATATTTACACAAAGGAATTGTCTTACAGTTGACACCACGCGGTGTATACGCATTCAAAGAATCTCAAGATAAAGCTAGAAATTAATGCAACTTTAGAATGAATAGCCATAATATGTGAGCTCATCTGTATTATGACAACTGACGATCTAATTAATGCTCACCTCACTGCTTATTTAATATTATGTGCTTGAGAAATATCGTGAAGCACCCATCGTCTGCTTCGCCAAATGATAGAGATATGTGAGACGATGATGTCGGCTCCTATTCCGGCAGCATTTTCCCCACAGCTATATTGGAACGATTATCCGGACCTCATTTGGAATGGTCCAGGTCCCTCGCATGTTCATGTTCCATATGTCATTTATATGTCATATGCCTGCGCAAGTGAATCCGATGAACCCAGGAAGAAATGTGCCAGAGGGGTTTCCACTCGCACATGCAGAGTGTCCCAGGGGTCAATGATTGTAGACAAAGAGCATCCCCTTAATTCCTGAGGGGAAAACGCGGCTTGAGTCATTATTGCCATTTTATCAGTCGTCAACCAACAACTCGAAAATCGCGGCTACGGCATTTTAGGCTGCTTTAAGTAAGTTCAAGGTGCATCCGCACACAACCAAAAGTTACGATGCACTGATATTCCCATTAACCGTCTCCTCATCGGCCACAGATATTAGAGATGTCTTTTGCAAACCTATACCGAGTACTCCATATTCCGTACCAATACCAAACCAGCATGCGTGGTCTAAGCATGTTTGCTCTGTTTGGCTTGTTTGTTTCCCATGCCGGCTGCTCGGAGTTTGCTGTGTTTGTCCCGTTTGTCCCGTTTGGGAATTGGTTGGATGCAACCTTCGGACTCATTCCCAACAGGTTATGGGCGTTAGGCTTGGGGGAAAGAAAAGAAAGAAATAATGGAAGGAGAGCTCTCGTTTCTTTTGTCTTGGGTTGTTGGAGCGACGTGCTCGGGGACAAAGACCGACACCACGGGGCTCGGGTTTAGGCGGTGATAACTGCGGCCGTAAGAGCGAAGAAGACGCGAATTTATCGCACCACAGTGGAAAATCGCGCCCGTGGGCCTCTGCAAATCCGGAACATTTGGGGAATAATGGGTGAAAACAACGAAGAAAGAAAGGATAAAAACAGAAGGGAAAATAGTACGCTGAGAGATTGGAGAGGCCTAGGTGATCGGTAACTAACTTTAACATGCTAGACAGCATTTAATAAGTAAGGTTCTTATTTTCTCGACCGGGCCTCTTCAAGGATACGATACTGTACATAACCTGCGAACATTTTAAAATTGGAGTCGAGTCGGAGTTCGGGGTAATTGTATCCGGAGATGGGTGGCCCGGCAGTTGAGTCATTGCGGGATGGAGGCTGACGTCGGTGGAGCCGAGGGAGCCAACCAGAAAGATTGGGCGTGATAAAGTTCTCAGGGCGCGGAAACAGGGAGGGGGATGGCAAAAAGGTTCCTTGCAACTTTGCAAGTTGCGCGGAGAGTTTGAGCTGAACTGATATGGGCAAGCCTGAAGTCCAGGGGGGAGAAAGAAGATGAAGAGCAATCACCAACAATGCGACCGTAGGTTCAATGCAACCCGTGGGAGGCCGCTTCTTTTAAACTCAGAACCGCGCATCAGCTTGTGCTTGTGATACGAGCGGTGACATACTCGACATGGGGATATGTGTACACATGTACGGAGTACTCCGTACGTACTATTAAATATTTGTACATACCGCCGTCTGACATCCCGAAAAAGCCACAAGGGGAGGAAGATGGCCCCCACGGTTGGATTTATAATCAACCAGCGCCTCTTCTAAACCAGCGCCAGGCAAATACTTAATATCGACTAGCGGCTCTGTCTCCTGCTGCTCTCGCCCCGCAAACCACGCCGATTGGCCAATGGACGCCCGCGCTTGTGCTGGCGGCTTGGTCTGGGCTCCGGTGCTGCTTTACAGCCAAAGTACGACGGCCTCCGGCTGCTACGGTACCGTACGCCGCGTCAATCCTTCCTCGCGCGCTTGGCCCACTCGCCCTCTTTCCTCCTCTCCTCTTTTTTCTCCTCGCACACTCATCATCATCCTTCTCATCATCCATCGCACACCTCTCTCTTCCTCTCTCGAACGCATACCTAATATCTGCCTTAGTTGCTTGAACTAACCCGTCTCTCCTCTAGCCACACTCCTTCTCAAAACCCCTCCGCCGTTGGTTAGGCCATCTATTCGTCCCCTCACCAGCCAATCTCAGCTCATTGCCTTCCATCGCATTCTCCCGCTCATTTTTTTTTATTTTTCATTTTTTCTTCTGGCACAACTACAAAACAAGCCATAGTAACATTCCCCGAATCTTTCCAGTAGCTACCGCAGTGAATCGACCTCTCTGTTTTATCCCGTCTCATCCGCTCATCCTCGACATTGGCCTTGCGTGTCATCAATACTAGCCGCGGGATCATATCAAGCCCCTGCTTCCGTCATTCCTACTTGCGTCATACCCTCGTCTGCCTTGACCCTCATCTGGCCGCTGGGAAAGAAAGATAGGGCAAACAACCCCGATCTGCGGCTTCTCACTGCCTTCAATCTCTCATTTACTTCATCTCGCTTTACAATCTTCCTATCCAACCTCCCCGTGATTTATTCTTGTTGAGGGCTGTACCCCGTATCGCCTGGACTCTCTCTCTCTTCCGCTCCGCTGTTCTTCCCTAGGACCTCAGTCACCTCTGTCCTCATATACCACCTATTTTCTCTATTCCAGGGGCTCGAGGTATAATTTCTGTTTTGGGAGTTAAGATACACCTAAAAAGTTCGGAAAAGGTGTTAGAATTGGCGTTGGACTTGCCGGGGAACCGCTTTAAACCGTTTCTTTATAGGCCTCCTGGAAAAACCTCGCCAGACTTCTTTGTTGCCTTTTCCATTAACAGGAACCCCAAGGAACTCTCCACCTCGAACGCCTACATTGTACACAGTTATCGAGCCAAGATTCTTTGTTCGATTGTGCCAGACGATACTCTGTTCCCTTATATATACTTCTCCACCTTGGTCAGGGTGGTCATAACCTAACCATCTAAGAATATATTATACCCATCGACGGCTCCAGTTTCCTCGATACCAACCTCTTATTAAGAAATTTAAAAATCACCGTTGCAATTTTTCTACTCCTAATTTGTTCACTTTTTATCGTCGTCTCCTCTGGGTTGTTCTAACTCCCGATCTATTACTATTGTTACGCTCTTTTTTTTTCTACCTCGTCTTGTACGAATACGTTGGCGATGTCTAATTTCGATTCCCTCTATGAGCGTAGCCTTTATCTATCGCCTGACCAACAGGACCTACTTCTCGCAGCACTTTCATCTGGCGATAAATCTTCCAAAATGACCAAACCCGACCATCGCCACAACCCCCAATCCGATTTCAATTTGCAAGACTCTCGTCCCAACACATCGTCACCACAAGATAATTCATTCGATAATACAGGGGTATCCAATCAGGACTTGTTTGAATCGCCACCAGAGGAACCCCTTGACCTTGGACAACTAGGTTTTGATGGAAGCCCCTTCTTAGGTTTCGACCTTGACGTGGATTTTGATCCCAATGAAGATTTGATCGGTGATCTTCCTGGACCTTCGCCAAATGGCGAAGATAATGAGCAGAGGGAGAAGAGAAAGAGTATTGACGGAAACGAGGAGGAGGAAAGCGGAAAGAAACGAAAGGAGACTGATGACAAAACGGCTAAGAAACCCGGCCGAAAGCCGTTGACGTCAGAGCCTACCACTGTGGGTTCCTCCTTTTCCCTAGCGTTTATATCTTATGCGTTCCCCAAAATATGGGTGTTTTCTTGCTGGGGCATGTTTCTCTCTGTTGTACTAATCACTTATCCCCTTGGTAGAAACGGAAGGCTCAAAATCGGGCTGCCCAAAGAGCTTTCCGGGAGCGCAAAGAAAAACACCTCAAAGATCTCGAAACAAAAGTGGAAGAACTAGAGAAAACTTCCAAATTAACGAATAATGAAAACGAACTTCTTCGCGCTCAAGTCGAAAAGCTCCAAGTGGAAGTCAAGGTGTATCGCAAACGCTTGTCATGGATAAACAGTGGGACCAGTTTGTTGCCATCAACGAGCTCTGGCATGCGTGGTTCGGAGTACAGGAATGGCTCCCATCATAGTGGCAACGACTTCTCTTTTGAATTCCCCAAATTTGGCGATCTCCCGAGCTCCCACACGTTTAGCCAAAGTTTATCGAAAGCTCCATCTCACCACACCAAGCATTTAACTGCGTCTCCGACCACTACGGGAGTGGATTACAAAAGTCCCAACAAGAGTAGCGGAAACTTTTTCAAAAGCGCACACCTCGCACCACAGCAACAGACTTTTAACCCTGGAAACACTCCTCACTCTGTGCCAACGCCCGACAGTATGAATTCTAGTGGCACTCCCAGCTCACAAGGGCGAAATAGCCAGAGTGCTAGTATAGAAAACCTAAATGGATTTGACACTTATTCAGGCCGCCCGTCGAGAAATAACACTGGGTTATCCTACACTAGTACTGGGTCTGGCGCCAATTCCAACACCAACAACTATTTAACTTATCAAACACAGCATTATGGCAGCTCCAACGCTTCAAATTCCGCTTCTCCCTCTGCCTCTTCAGAATCTCACCATCTCTCGTCCATCGGCACATCACCAGAACCCAGCGTGAACTCACCACCTACTGGGAAGCTGACGGAATCCAGTTTGAACACAATTAATGAACTAAACGCAAGCCACGCGGGGGGAGAAGGTGAGAAATCATTCTACGAGAAGCTTGGCCGGGCCTGCGGTTGCGCTGAGAACCCAGTTCCTGCTGCGTTGTCAGATTCTAATCGTCCTCCCAAACTTCCAGATCATAACAACAACATTAGCAATAGCAGTAGCAACAATCACGGCAATATCAACTACCTAGCAGATGGCCTATTAGGGATCGACTGGCTCGCTCAGCAAAACGGCGGCCAATTTGACCCTGTCTTGTTCGGTGACTACCGCGATCCCCAGGACGCTGTTCTCTCACAGGACTTTGGCAATTTCTTCAACGACGCGCTGCCGTTCCCCGAATTTGGAAGCTCTCTACAAACCTTTAATGAGTTGAACAACGGCCATGCTAATACCACCGCTTCAACAACGGCGCCCCCCAAACATGACCTGCTCAGACAAGTAGACAGCATCCTCGAGGGGAACCATGATGAGGAGGTTGTGCCGGCAGAAGACCGCTCGCAAATGCTATCGTGCACCAAGATTTGGTATGTTGTATTTACTCTTTGTTCTCCCCTTCAATTGGCTCCCTCATGATCTAGACTCTCTCTAACACTTTGCAATCTAGGGACCGCCTGCAATCGATGGAGAAGTTCCGCAACGGTGAGATCGACGTTGACAGCCTGTGTAGTGAACTCCGTACGAAAGCGCGCTGTTCTGAGGGTGGTGTTGTGGTTAAGCACGATGATGTGGAAGCCATCATGTCCCGCGCAAAGTAGTGAAGGGGAGGCTGTTTTATAGTATATATCATGTTATACATAATTGTCGTTCATGGAGCTATCAGGTGGTTTTGTTGTTTTGAAAGGAACAAATTTACATGCGGGAAACGAGTCGGGGTGTAGGAAGGGATACTTGCGGCGAATGAATTGATTTGATTTGAGATGAATGGCAACTAGCGAATGGCAAATGGCAAATGGTGAGAAGGTAAAAAGGGAACGAGGAAAGAAATATTGCAGTACCTGTTAACTGACACGAACCAATATTCTTTTATATATACTATTATTCTCCTTCAGTACTGTACATACGAAGTCACCTCTCTTTTCTTTATGTCTTTTTGCCTTTTCCTTTCTGACATATAATATGTCTATGCATATCTACATACTCCTGGCTGGTGATGTTGCTGTTTTTCTTCCTGTGTTCTTAACCCCCCTTCATACAGATTGCGATTCTTTATCTGAGCAACATGTTGTTTTTCTACACTGCAGATAACATTGATCACATTGGGCATATTTCAAAAATACAGTCTTATTGCTATGAGGTCCTGTTCACAAAGGTGTCAAGAAATGAAATTCTCATGAAGATGTTTGTATGAATGCGGCTTAACACTAGCCATCTGGACATGACATGGCATGAATATCCCTCTGTGTACATCTGTAGCTTACCTGTCCTGCTTGTATGTGCCAGTGCAGCACTTCACATACTGTGTTTCTCAACTGTAGCTACCTTACTACTAACTCCACACGCTAGTATCAGGTAACTTATAATCTAGTCCATCCCATGATTCCCATCCCATTCAATGCTGTGGTGCATGTACTCCGTAGAGATCTGGGAAAGGGGAACAGGAAGCGGCTGACATAGCTCTCCCACGTGACCAGGCGCCTTCCCCGATCCGAAAACGCATCCCAACCTTCGCCATATCAACTTGAGGCTCCCTTTTTTCTTCTGCTCTGCTTCGACTCAACCTTACGACATACGAGCTCGTTTCTCCACTCCCCTCTCTCTCCCTGCTTCTTCTTCGCTCCGTCTTGTCCGTGAAGCCTCTTTGTCTTCCGAATCGTCTAACGTATTGTCCTCCCCCAAAATACGCCCTACCCTCTAATATTTCCCTGTTGTTGTTGTCTTCTTCTCTCTTCAACCTCCCTCGTCGCGCAAACCAACCTACCTGTCTTTCTGCTTCAAAAGACTTCCCTCTTACACGATACAATACCTTGTTGTCTCGCCAGCAGAGTGCAGCACCGTCCTGTTTTATAGACGCCCGCCCCAAGGAAACCTAACTGAAATTCCCCCCCCAAAACAAACTTTCGGCGCTCCATCCCGAGCTTTCATCGATCTTGGCATATTCTCTTTCTCGTCTTGCTTTTGCTCTAGCATTTTCTTCCACCTTTTCTTTTCTTTTCATTCTTGCTTTCGTTCTCGTTCTAAACTGTTAAGCTGTCAATCTATCCTTGCCAAGGAGTGACTGACGTGAAATAAACATACCAATCAACTTCTGAAAGCAAACAACAAACCCAAAATACACAGAAAAGCGTGGAATTAAGGAAAACGAAAAGGACGTACAAAGCAGCTCTCCCCTCCTCCCTTCCATTTGAACTATTAACATCCACCCACCTATCTATCTTTCCCTGTCCATCTATCCATATGGCTTCAGTAAGTTTTCTCCCCAAAACTCAGATTGGCGTGCCTAAACGAAACCGCCGCCCTGTGATCCCTCACTTCGAACACAACCTTAACAACTCTCCTCTCTCCCCTTCAGCACTTTGATTTTGCGAAATGATGTTTTCCAAGAGACCTTCGCTAACTTTGGGCGAAATGCGCAAAAAAATAATAGCCCCGTCCCGCCCACACCTTCAACAACCCGGGCTATAATCTCCCTAACGGTTCGACGAGCGGCCCCACCCCCGGAGCTACTGCGCTGCTCCCCAATAATGGCAGAGTGATTCAGACTGGTGGTGTGCGGGTGCTTTGCGTTGCAGATGTGCGAGGTAAGCAAATTATTCATCGAGATGACCCTTCATACAATTTCTAGTCCTTGTTACATAGATGAAATTTTTCGCTGGGTTGTGCGGGAAGACAGCGTTATTGTCATTTTTAGTACTGTTGCCATTTGCTATGTGTTGATGAACCTGGTTGACAAACTGCTTTCAAACGATGATTAGGGAACTTGAAATCACTCAATGAACTCGCCAAGCAAGCTCGCGCCGACCATATTATCCATACCGGCGACTTTGGATTTTATGATGATAGCTCTCTTGAGAGGATTGCAGAAAAGTACATTTCTCTCTCTTTTACCGGGGTGTACCCTCGATGAAGATTTTCTAACTAACCAATGTGACTTGCGCACCTATTATAGGACCTTGAGACACGTTGTTCAGTACTCTCCCCTCCTTCCAGAGTCCAACAAGAAAAGCATCGCCTCTGTTCCGCTCCAGCAATCCATTAAACAACGATTCAGCCCCGAGCAACTCCCTCTCTCCGAGCTTCCTCTATTGCTCAACAAGCAGTTGACACTCGATGTTCCCGTATATACTGTTTGGGGCGCCTGCGAAGATGTAAGGGTACTAGAGAAGTTTAGGTCTGGTGAATATAAAGTCGACAAGCTACACATCATCGATGAAGCCAGCTCGAGACTATTGGATATCGGCGGAGTGAAACTGCGCCTGCTTGGTCTGGGAGGTGCAGTGGTTATGCATAAACTGTTCGATAATGGAGAAGGAAAGACAACAATTGCAGGCGGGCAAGGAACTATGTGGACAACGCTCTTACAGATGGGCGAATTGGTTGATACTGCAAACCGCGTTTATGATCCGTCTGAGACACGTCTTTTCGTCACGCATGCCTCACCAGCTCGCGAGGGCATGTTGAATCAACTCTCTGTCACACTGAAGGCTGATTTCTCCATATCGGCGGGATTGCATTTCAGATATGGAAGTTCATACAATGAATTTAGCGTCAATCCTACTCTTGACCATTACCGTGGCAAACTAGCGGCTTCGAAGGCCTCATTTAACGATGTGTGGGACACAGTTAAAGGGGAGGTCGAGACTGCCATCAATGCCAACGAGGCCCAAAGAACTCTACTGGACAATGCACTAAATATAGTTGAGAAGATGCCAACCATCGCGAATGGCGGAAACCCCTTCGGAGGCCCTGTCGCAGCGAGCAATGCAGGCGGACAGGTTGACGAAAGCGCGTTCAAAAACATGTGGAACTTCAACCTGGCGGATGCTGCTTTCGGATATCTAGTTCTGGAAATCGATGGTGGCCGTATTGGAACGGAAATGCGCGCTCAGGGCTTCAACTTTTCACATCGTACCGGCAAGCAACCAACCAGTGTGCCGCCAATAGCCCAACAGCCATCCACCATGGCGCCTCTTCCCGGCGCGCCGGGCGGCACCGGTGCTGCGCCCCCTGGAGCTCCTGGACAACCAAGATCTACTGGCGGTGCTCCTCAATACGGACAGGCTCCAGTACCGAACCGTGCGTCCGGACCGACCTATCAACAGGCAGCCCAGGCTCCCGCTACACAAAAACCCGCGGCCCCCATTCCTCCGAAAACAACCGCATCACCAGCTCCCGTAATTCCGAACAACAAAGTCAATAAGCCTACCACCCCTCAACCCGCTGCCGGAGCGAATGCCAATGTTCCCGCAGCTTCGACAGATAAAGCCAACGAGTCAAACGGCACGGCACATGGTGCCGGAGACAGGACGGATTCCAGGAATGATTCAAGGACAGGACCCCCTCAAGAACGCAAACCAAGCAGCGGCCTCTTTATCTCAAACGTGGACTCCGAACAAGCGATCCGCGATCTATTCCCCGAAGAAGACAAAGCAAAGATCCTCAAGGTAGAAAAATGGGGCAAATTTAACCATGTGGTGACTTTCTCCACTCCCGAGGAAGCCAAAGGTGCCTTGGAACGGCAGCCACCTGAACATAAAAAACCAAGCCCTCCAGGACCAAATCGGAAACCAAACGTGAAGATGTTTGAGGATCGCGGGAGCCGAAGGGATATGAATCGCGGGGATGGCAACGCTGGAACGTGGCAAGCTAGTAATCGCGGTGGTGCTGGGGGTGCACCTGGCGCGAATGTTGGTCAACGGAGTGGGTATCAGAGTGGTAGTGCTTCGAGCGATATGGAGATGGGACGTGGACGGGGTGGGTTCGGTGGTCGGGGGAGAGGTGGAAGAGGTAGTGACAGAGGTGGACGTGGCGGTGAGAGAGGTGGAAGGGGTGGTCGTGGTGGATATGGAGGTTCTGGGGATCGCGAGCGCGGTGGTGCTGGAAAGGGTGGTGCAGGGGGAACGGAATCGCCCGCTCCTGCTACTTCAACGCCTGCGTCTGCACCCGCTGGGGAGGCGAAAGGGGGAGATTAAATGATGAGCGATTTGATGTGACCTGACGAGATGGATATGGTTGAGTTTGGGTTGTTTGCTATTCTATTTTATTCGTTTTCATGTTCGTTTGGTTTCTTTTCACCTTTTTCCCGTTCTTACGTGATGCTGTGTAAACTGTTCCCCTTTTCTAATTTTCTATTTCTTCAACTTGTGTTCCTTTGTTTATTTATTTTTTTCTTGTCAGTTTTCAATTGTTTTCAGCTTCAGTTTCTCCCCTTTGTTCTCCTTACTCCCCTCCCCCCCCCCCTTCCCTTTTTGTTCTCTCTTCATTAAAGATTCATATCATACATACCACTGTGCCCGCAGCTACAACTACCTCAATACCTACCAACGTACCTAACTCTCCGCGTATTCAGCTCACCTATCATATTCTTCTATCTACCTCACGCTAACTAACGAGGCACCTGATTCAACAGATTTCTGATTTCTGCTTACCTTTTCTTTCTTTTCTTTTGTTTTCTTTTGCAAGTGGGCAAAAAGCAAGTAAAGTTGTGGGGAAAGGAATAAACTATAATGTTTTATTTTTTATGGCCGCGCCCTCCGTTCCTCGTCAAAGCGCTAGGAGTGAGATTTGAATGGTAAAGATCCAAGGTAGGTTTGTATGTAGATATGAATGGATTGTCCAGCAGCATGTAGAGAAGGGTATTGATTGGCAGTGGAAAAATAGGAAGAACAAGTTCTATATATGCGTGCGTCTGTTTTATCATGATTCTGTGATTTTCCTCTAAAAATAATATTTATCTCTTTGGGTGGTTCTATGGAATAAACAGTGCTGAATATCATTGATACCTAGGAACCTGCTAGATGCAAGTAAGAATAGGACATGTCTAAGGGAGAGCATGCTAACATTTAAAAGGGGAGGGGGAGAAAAAGAAAAATTCAAAATTCAAAATTGAAAATGCCCTGCACTCTTTGTTTCCTCCATTTTTTTGGGAACAGGCCATGCCCCGCCCGTCGCTGATATTTTTTGGTTTTCGCAAACAGATACATGTTCATTGATACATTTTTGCAGTGTCTGAGCTCATGATGAGTATGGCCGCCGTGCAGATATGATGGAATACCCCCCGACCAAGGTGGATTTGGGCCCCTCTCTTTCCTGAAGTTGTGTGCCCTAGCATTGCGGCAGCGCTCCATTTAACTAGGATTGCAGTTTTGTCGTACGGCTAAATGGAGAGAAGGAAAAAAGGAGGTAGTTGTCAGCATAGAAAACTGATAAGAGAAAAAAGAGAAAATAATGCTGATAAAACAGTTGAACAACGAAACTCACCATTGGCATAAAAGGTATAACTATCGGCGTTCCGAATCGACATATCAGCATTCAACGCCATCGACGCATCTTCACCGTAGGCAAGATCCGTCGTGGCGGGATAGTAAACGGCATCGATGTGCGATAACTCATGGATGACAGTCAGCGCCTGGTCGCCCGCATCGCACGCCTGCGACACCGCGGTTACCGAATAGTAGATTGGACAGTTGACAACGACATTCGATCCTGAAAGCGCATAGGCGACCGTGTCCGGGCGGCAGACATCCATCTCATCTTCGCACTGGTACTTGACTACCCCGCCCTCAGCGCTGCAGGCTTCGTTAGAGATGGCGTGGAAGCGGTCGGAAACTTGCTGGCGGATTGGAGGGGTCTGTTGTGCGAAAGTATTGCTCGAACACTCGCACGTCGCCGGATAGAGCCGCGTTGGAAGCTTCTCCGGCGATGCTGGAGTCTCGTTTCAGTGCGCTGGCGATGACGGCCTTTTGATGGTCGGTACAGTTGCCGTTGTTGAAATCGGCGCGCTGGGCGAGATGGTCATGTATTTTGGCGCGGGTGGAGAGGACGCCTGATACCTGTTTGCCGTCTACTTCTATTTTAAGTTCGTTGGATTCGTACGGGATGACACTAGCAATGCTGAATGATTTGGGGTCGATAATTGGGAAGACACCGTCGGCGGAGACAATGTAGGTACCACTTTCTGAGAGATTGAGGGTTTCCGCGAGGTCGAATTCTTTGTCGATAGTTTGGCCGGGGCCAATAGGTTGGAGGTTGTCTTTGGCTAGGTCAGAGGGACTGCGGCGTAAGTGAACGCCTTTAAAGGGCACTTCTTTTCGGGAGCCTGCAACGCATTTGATGTAAGATAATGGTTTCATGATGTTGAAAGAAGAAAATGATATAGCGTACCCTCTTTGTAGACAGTGAACTTTTTCGTGGGAGATGCGTCAAAGAGTGTGTTCGCTCTAAGAATGGAAATTTCTGAGGAGCCAGTGTTCGTCACAGAAACTTGGACTTTGGTGTTTCCCGTTGAGGCGAGGCTGACATCGAGGCCCTCAGAGCGACGTCCGATGGAGATAATGGCGCTAGAGTATATGGGAACGAGCAGTCCGGCTGCCGTCAATAGAACTGAGGATAACTGCATAGTAAGGAATGGAATATCCGTACAGAAATTAAAGAAGGGTAGGAGAACAAAGGCCAATGAGCAAGAATATAGAATGCAAACAAAAAGAAGGATGTAAGAAAGGAATGTAATGAGGGGAAAGGAACGAAGAGGAAAGAACCCAAGTTGTGAGCTATATGCCCATTAATATAATTCACTCAAATCCTTCTGGAAGGAGAACCACTGAGCAGGTAAACTCCTGCCACCACCCTCCATGACTGGAGCTGCGCGCCACACTAATCGCCCGAAGTATAAGAAAATGTAACTTGGTGGATTAAACCTTATTAGCTGGTGGATCCTAGATCGAGATTCGAAAGCGCCCAGCGTTGAAATTTTGGAAGCATTAAGCTCTTTTTACAGGCCCCTCGCATAGGGGGACCAACCTCAAACTTGCCCTGCCGAAAAAGACCATATCTTTTTCGGCAACATTGTTTCCCAACCATCACCCGGACCACCTCGCAGTAATCGAATGTCCGAAAACACAGTGAATGGATATCCATTATTGGCGTTTTAAGAGGCCCCGGAGTAGTAAAACATTAGGCACAGTAGAACACGCAAGTCCCACTATACCGAGTAGACTGGAGAGTAGCAGAATAGGTGGGGAGGGGATTCCACTTGCTTTTTTGATGTTTCAAGAGGGCGGTACAACTTTAAATGGACCACATGGCTCAAATTCCAGATTTTGGAAGTATCGATTTGTCGCGATCATCACAACTTATCATGTAGCTGTCCATTAGTTCTTAGATGTTGTTGCTTAGAGCGCTAGCACTCTTGCAATGGACTGGGTGTTTGGTTGACCCAAATATATTCAACGATTATAGCAATCGAAAGGAAGGGCCTATGGATCTTGCATGTCTTGTTCGACAATTTCAAACCTCGAATGGTGGTAATGCCTGCAAGTTGAAACTAGGAACAAGTAGTTTAGATCTGGATCCACGTTTCGACGGTGGGTGAGAGAATAAAAGGAGGCAAATCGGGCTGAAGGTCTTCATTTCCGCTTTCCCTTGCTTATAAAGAAGAAAGCGTAGCCACTAACATTCATGGGGAGGTGCTGGAATGAATTGCCCTATATCATCGCAGTCAGTCAGTCAGTCAGTCAGTCGTGGACATATCGGCGGGCTGCCGATTGGCATCACGCCGTGGCATCAGCCGGAACTCCGAGCCATATTGCCGCAAACGCGTACTAATATCTAGGTAACAGATGACTGTAGTTCAAACGTTCTGATCAGGTTCGGATTTTCGTCATTTCAACTCTTCCGATATCTATGTTTCGCCTCCCGTTTGACGCCGGATTTAGACCTTGGTGTTCCGAATATATTCATCGTACGGAGTACATGTCTACCCTTGTTGTCAACAGGGTAGAGTTCCCGGGATAAAGAATGCATCGTGGATACGGAAATCCGAGGACCTGATCGCCACAACGAGTGCTGGACAAATTTTGCTGTAAAACTGGCTGTTAAGCCTTAGGATGGTTTCCATTTTGACATGGTCAATGCCCCATTTAGGTCCTATACTTCTCAAAACAAAACATGACAAGACATTTAAAACGCACCGCGAATTCAATTGTGAAATATGAGGGTTGACTCGAGTATCCCCGCGCAAATGTACCACACTCCCCCATTGGCGATTGGAGTTTGATCGGAAAACCCTAATTAAGCGCGATGCCTAAGTGCTGAGTTAACCTTTATAGACGTGCCATTAAAGGAAGGGCGACGTTGTAATATAAACCCTTATCAACACCGCCTACATAAAAATGGCGAAGGCTCCTGGGCGATTGATAGATGTCGCTCGAGCAGTTGCTGAACATCGCTGAAGTTTGCCTCAACTCTCAAACAAAATCAGCATTTAGGGAGTCACCGACACAACCTTATTTTGAAAACTAATGGACGTGTCGCTAACACTGATAATTCATGGCCTCAAAGTAAGGCAGATGAGGGATAAAGGGTCAGTATTAATTTACCTTGGAGATTCTAGCCCAACAACCCAACCGTGGATATTATAACTCATGCTGTTTAACGCATATGGTTAGAGCTGCCGTAGCTTGTTTGAAGCTCAGAAATCCATATTCCACTGCTGAAATTTCGCAGACGTAAGCATTGGCGTTGACTTCCCAGCATTCCTTGCTGGGACCGTCGAGCTTTGCTGCTGAATTTGCCCCCCCCTTCCACCCCTTCCACCCCCTAGCTGCTGCCGTTAAGAAACATCCTGTCTTATTTGATTTCCTATTATGTTTTTGTGCAACAGCGAAGCTCGGTATGATTTCTTTTCGGGGCGGCAAGAGCATAAAGGGCATTCCCGAAAGGCATTTTCACCGTTTCTCGCTCAGCCTGCGGGGAAGTAGAATTCTTCCACCCTACAGCTAGAGCGTCTAGAGGATCTTGGGCTTCTAGCGATGTTCTTGCTAAGAGGAGCACCAGAAATGTCCACCTCGGCATTGTAACTAACCCCAGATGCCGCGGATGTATTTCAACTTCGGCGTGCCGATTCGCCCAAGCATCTAGCCCACTTGCAAGAAATGGACAACGAAAAAGTGAAGAAAACGGGTTGAATTCCTCGTAAATACGGGCCTAGACCGACCGACCTAATGCTTTGAGGAGTAGCACATTTATGACGTAGGATGAGTCTGGCAGGGAACCCCAAGCCTTTTATTAGTTTCTTCCTGGCGCGAAGAGTATGCACCCTGTTTTTCTCGTTCCTGGAATACCCCGATAACCAGACAATTGGCATGGATGCTGAATTGATGTCGTCGATGTCGTCGTCGTTGCCAAGCCTCGGCTCACTTAGTCATCGATGTCACAGGCTGACATAAGCACGCGTCCAGCCATTCTCCCGTCACCACATCATCCAACCACTTATCAGTACCAACCCATTCATTACCCTGCTGTGTGATTCGACCTCTTTGGCAACTAATCTTGCTTTCTTAGCGGAATCTCGTTTCTGTCTGTATCACCATTGACCGTTCGTTTCTTCAGTTCCGTTTTGAATGCTGCCGCAAGTTTGGCGGCCTCAACGCATCCAGGAGTTAATCAAAATCTCTCACGCTCTTAAGAGATCCTGATCGCTCGGTCGTCACCGCTCCAAAACCCTCTTCTGCAGCTTCTCAAATATCGATTGAAATATATTGGTTATCCCTTAATGGTTTGACCCTCTTGTAGAGGAAGTCGACTACAAGGGGAAGATAGTGGTAGTGCTGGAATCTACGAATGCTCCCCGTTGACTTCTGCCTGAAGATAACATCCAGCCATGCGCCTCGGATGTTTGTCGCTCCTGGGGGTACTGGTAGTTGCTCAGAGCAACTCCGTCTTTGCCCAAGGAGAGACAAAGATTCATGAGGAGGGTCGCTGTGCGATTCGTGGCCACTGCGGGAAGAAGTCGTTCTTCGGTGGAGAGTTACCTTGCCCCGATAATGGACTTGCGAAAGCGCCGGCGGCGGAAACCCGGAGGAAACTGGTAGCGCTGTGTGGAGATAAATGGAAAACTGGAAATGTTTGTTGCGAGGACACTCAGGTAAGACTCCGCTTCGGAGAAGTTGCGGATCCAAGATCCACTCTGACCAACTGGTGGCACTTGAGCTTACACCTGCTTGTTTTGCTATTCCAATAGATTGATGCTTTATCCTCGAATCTGAAGATGGCCGAAGGTATAATTGCGTCATGTCCGGCATGCAAAGAGAACTTTTTCAACCTCTTTTGCTCCTTCACCTGCTCCCCGGACCAGTCTCTGTTTATTAACGTTACACAAACCGACAAGGTCAAAGGGAAGAAAGTGGTGACTGAGCTGGATAACTTGTGGTCGGAGGTGTACCAGGTTGGATTCTATGGCAGCTGCAAGGATGTGAAAAACGGTGCTTCGGGCGGCAAGGCGATGGACTTCATCGGCGGGGGTGCAAAGAATTATTCCCGATTCTTGAAATTTTTGGGCGACAAGAAGCTGTTGGGTAGCCCCTTTCAAATCAATTTTGTCACAGAACCAAACGGACCTGGGGATGTGGGCATGCGACCTTTACCGGAGATTCCAAAATCCTGCAGTGATTCAGACCAGAAGTATCGGTGTTCATGTGTCGACTGCCCGGCTGTTTGTCCCCGACTACCAGCGTTAGAAGAGGAGACCTATTGCCACGTTGGGCATCTCCCGTGTTTATCATTCTCCGTCATAATCATATATTCGGTCTTTTTGTTGCTCTTGGTCGCTGGTACTCTTGGCCACTTTGTCTTTCAGAGACGTCAACAACGGAAACTGGAACGGGCTCGACTCCTACAGGATACAAGCCCAAGCGACGATGAAGATGAAGGCGATCTTATCGACGATGCCGGTATACTCGATCGTCCCCAAACAAGCTACAAGTTAAATTCCGTGTTCGATGCGATATTTAATCGTCTCGGTGGTGCTTGTGCTCGTTTCCCGGCGTTAACCATAACGACAAGTATAATATTTTGTGGCGTGCTAAGCCTGGGTTGGCTACGTTTCGCCGTCGAAACAGACCCTGTCAGACTCTGGGTTAGCCCAAGCTCAGCTGCTGCACAGGAGAAAGCATTTTTCGACGAGAACTTCGGGCCTTTCTATAGAGCAGAACAAGCGTTCCTCGTCAACGACACCCATCCAAACGGACCGGGTCCTGTTTTAAGTTATGAAACACTCAGTTGGTGGTTCGACGTGGAGAGTCGAGTTCGTCGCATGATTTCGCTGGACAAAGGGCTTTCTTTGGACGATATTTGTTTTAACCCGACGGGAAAGGCTTGCGTTGTCCAATCATTAACAGGATATTTCGGAGGTTCTTTTTCCAATGTCGACCCTAACACTTGGGAAGATCACTTGAGGCATTGTACCGAGTCCCCCGGTGCTGTAGACTGCCTTCCCGACTTCCAGCAGCCCCTAAAACCAGAAATGATTCTAGGTGGTTACGGGCGGCCTGGAAATGTATTGAATGCATCCGCACTAGTCGTCACATGGGTGGTTAACAACCATGCCCCTGGCTCCAAAGCGGAGGCTGGCGCAATTGATTGGGAAGATAGCTTAAAAAGAGTGCTCGAAGTGGTTCAAGAAGAGGCAACTGAACACGGCCTACGCGTTTCTTTTAACACCGAAATTAGCCTTGAACAAGAGTTGAATAAGTCTACGAACACGGATGCGAAAATCGTGGTTATTAGCTACATAATTATGTTCATCTACGCTTCGTTAGCCCTTGGCTCTACAACTTTGACGTGGAAAAGCATCATCAGAAATCCGGCCAATAGTCTCGTGCAGTCGAAGTTTACTCTCGGTATCGTCGGTATCTTGATCGTTCTGATGTCTGTGTCAGCTTCAGTCGGGCTCTTCTCAGCAGCCAGGATCAAAGTGACGTTAATTATCGCCGAGGTGATCCCATTCCTAGTTCTAGCAATCGGCGTTGATAACATTTTCCTTATCGTTCACGAATTTGAGCGAGTAAACGGAAGCCACCCAGACGAGGAAATCGATGAGCGCATCGCTCGAGCGTTGGGAAGAATGGGACCTAGTATTCTCCTCTCTGCAACCACAGAAACCATTGCTTTTGCGATGGGTGCGTTTGTAGGGATGCCTGCTGTCAAGAATTTCGCAGCCTATGCTGCCGGTGCGGTCTTTATCAATGCCCTATTGCAAGTAACGATGTTTGTATCCGTGCTGGCATTGAACCAGAGACGTGTTGAGAGCCTACGTGCAGATTGTTTGCCTTGCCTTACTGTCCGAAAAGCAAATTCGTCTTCTATCCCTGGCGGTCAGCCGTATGACCACGCGGAGGAAGGAGCTCTGCAACGATTTATTCGAAAGATTTATGCTACTCGTCTTCTTCAGAAGCAGACTAAAGTTTTAGTTATGGTTGTTTTCCTCGGAATATTCACAGCCGGCCTTGCGCTCCTACCAACTGTAGCTCTTGGGCTGGACCAACGTATCGCCATCCCCAATGATTCATACCTGATTGATTTCTTTAATGATCTGTATGATTACTTTGGAACTGGGCCCCCTGTTTACTTCGTAACGCGAGATGTGAATGTTACCGCCAGACACCATCAGAAACAACTTTGTGGAAGATTTTCAACATGTGACGGGTTTTCACTGGGCTTTGTTCTTGAACAGGAATCAAAGCGTCCCAATGTTTCTTATATCTCTGGATCGGCCGCCAGTTGGATCGATGACTTCTTCTACTGGCTGAACCCTCACCAAGACTGCTGCAAAGAAGACGGAAAAATTTGCTTCGAGGGTAGAGATCCGCCATGGAATATTTCGTTACATGGCATGCCAGAAGGGTCTGAGTTCATTCATTACGCGGAGAAATGGCTAAAGTCACCTACGGACGAGTCATGCCCTCTAGGTGGTTTAGCTCCCTATAGCAATGCCTTAGTTCTCGACTCAAAGCATGTTACGACTAATGCAAGCCATTTCCGCACGAGTCACACACCACTACGCAGCCAAAAGGACTTCATCAAGGCCTATGAATCCGCTCGTCGTATTGCGGACGACATCTCACAAAAGCACGATATCGATGTCTTCCCTTACTCCAAATTCTACATATTTTTCGACCAGTACGCTTCTATTGTCCGCCTCACTGGAACCTTGCTTGGATCCGCAACCGCGATAATCTTTGTTGTCACTTCAGTCCTCTTAGGCTCTATAGCTACAGGAGCAGTGGTTACTGCCACAGTGATTATGACTGTTGTTGATATTATCGGAGCTATGGCTATTGCTAATGTCTCGTTAAATGCTGTCTCGCTAGTTAACTTGATTATCTGCGTCGGTATCGGGTTCGAATTCTGTGCACATGTTGCACGCGCTTTCATGTTCCCTTCCAGCCCACTATTGGAGCAAGCTCGAGATAAATTCCGATATCGTACTGCTCGCGCGTGGGTGGCATTAGTCAATGTTGGCAGCAGTGTCTTCACCGGTATCACGGTTACCAAACTTCTAGGTGTCTGTGTACTCGCATTCACAAGGAGCAAGATATTCGAGATCTACTATTTCCGGATATGGCTGGCACTGGTAATATTCGCTGCGTCTCATGCGCTGATATTCTTGCCAGTTGCTTTGAGCTTCTTTGGTGGTGACGGTGAGTTTCCTCCTTCCATTAATCTGTAGACCCTTTGTAATTTATAATGCCCGGAGAACTGATGCAGTTTATATTCTACTCATAGGATATTGTGACCCTCAGACAGACGGCGGTCTGGAAGGGGACCTTGCTGCCCGAAGATATCGCTCCCTGCTACCCGATGACTATGATTCGGAGGACGACTCTTGAATTCAATACCGCGGTCTATCCGTGAAAACTATTTTGGCCATGTTAATTCGCTTTATGACAATAATATTTTTTTCCCCTGCTTAGCCGTTCGCAAAATCCTTTGATTCGATCGCTTTTGAGGACATATTCGTAACCCAAATCGAACATTATAGACCTAAAGGAGTATCGCAAGCGTGGTGGAGTCTGGATAATGGAAGAACAATGGAGGAACAACGATCATATGCCTGCTTCCTGGTGTATGTACTATGTATACGTATACAGGGCAATGTCTCATTTTTTCACCCGCATGCTAGGACGACGACAGTCAAGTCACCTTTGATTTTTGGATATTGGCGTACATAGCCGGATTATGCCTTCCTTCCCCCCCCCCCCCCCTTTTTTTTTTTTTTTTCTTTCTTCAGAAAAAAAAATATTAGATCATCAGCTATGGGTGGATTATAGCTGTCCATGATTATGACAGATAATGAAATATTCCATCTCGAATTAACAAATTAAACAATATCCGTCGGGGTCAATAAATGATGGTTGTTTGCTGCCTCATGTTGATGTAAACAGTGCAAACAACGGTGCTACCAAGCCCACTAAAGCAGACTAGCGCCGCCATAGAAAAAAAATAATCCCACTTCATATCTCAATTTTCCTCCTTCTCCCCTCTATTCTCTACGATTCTCTCTCTTCATCACCTTTCTCCTCTTTCCCTAGTTTTTTTAAATCCTTGGGAACCCTTTTCAATAGGAGTAGTTGAGAGGACCTATACCAGCCGCCTGCCTTTTTCATAGACCTACACCCTATCTTTGCGATCGAGAAGCGTGCATTACAACAGTCGCCCATCATGGACCAGCAGCGGTTCTTGCAGCAGCTGCAAATCGTCCTTGATCGTGAGTTCTTGAGCCTACTATATGCATATTATTGGAGAATGTTGTAGTACGAACGAATTTCTCTGACTTGCGGCCTTATTGATATTGTATAGCGACCAAGGGCAGCGTCAAAGAAGCTACTGGCACACTTAAAAAGGAATTCTATACCCACCCAGAATCGCTCCTTTTCCTCATTCAGGTCGCCACTTCCCATGATGACCAGAATTTGAGACAGCTTGCTGCTGTCGAATCTCGAACGCTCGTGTACAAGCATTGGCTCAAAATCGCTGCGGAGCAGAAACCACAGGTTAGAGAACAGCTACTCCGTGCTGCCTTAGGAGAAGGTACCTCCTTGGTCCGCCATTCTTGTGCGCGTATCATTTCCGCTATTGCGAAGATTGATATCGAGGACGGGCAATGGGCAGATCTCCCTGGATTCCTGCTCCAGGCTGCAGCCAGCCCCAAAGCCGACGAGCGGGCTACTGGTATCTACATCCTATTTACCGTCCTCGAAACGCTAGGTGAGGGTTTCCAGGAGAAGTTTAGCGACCTCTTTGCGTTATTTGAGAAGACTATTCGTGATCCTGAGAGTGCTGAGGTCCGCATCAATACCCTGCTTGCATTGAGCAAGCTGGCCATACATCTCGACTCCGAAGAGGATGAGGCACCAGTTAAGGCTTTCCAGAATATTTTCCCCGCCATGGTCGCCGTGCTGAAAGACTCGATTGACCGGAGCGACGAGGATCGGATCCTGCAGGCATTTGAGGTTTTCCAAACCCTCCTTGCCTGCGACCCACAATTGATGAACCCCCACCTCAGGGATCTTGTGCTATTCATGAACCAGGTTGCAGCAAACACCGAGCTGGATGTTCACACGAGAACTCAAGCCATTAGTTTCCTCATGCAAGCGACTAGGTATAGAAAGCTGCGAATCCAAGGCATGCAGATCGGTAGCCAGATTACCCTTACCTGCCTTCAAATCGCTACCGAGCTGGGTGACACTGCCGTTGACGATGATGATATTACACCAGCAAGATCGGCGCTTGGTCTCTTGGACATGCTTGCACAAAGCCTTCCACCTAGCCAGATTGTCGTCCCTCTCCTCAACGCTTTGGGACAATACTTCAACAATAAGGATCCCGACTATCGACGCGCTGGTATCATGGCTCTTGGTATGTGTGTCGAGGGTGCTCCTGATTTCATTAGCACTCAGATGAAGGAAATTTTCCCTGTCGTGTTCCAACTACTTAGCGACCCCGAATCCAAGGTTCGCCAAGCAACATTGCATGGCGTTGCGCGAATTGCCGAATCTCTTGCGGAGGACATCGGCCAACATCATCAGCAGATGATGCCTCTCCTCCTCACGAATCTCCGAAGCACAATGCAGGAGTGGAAGGGCGAAGAGAGTGGCCCAGCCATCGACAATATGAAAGCTGCAATCAGCGCATTGGATGCCGTGGTTGACGCGTTGGGCGAGAGTGATGTGATCTTGTACCAAGGAGAGGTGGTGCCAATTCTCCACGAGTTGATCAAACATCCTGACTTCAAGGTGAAAGCTCTTACAGCTAGCGCGTTGGGATCCATCGCTTCATCTGCTGGCGAAGCTTTCCTCCCCTTCTTCAATGACTCAATGCATCTCATGCAGGACTATGCTACGATGAAGGATAGCGAGGATGAGCTTGAACTCCGCGCGTGTGTCACTGATGCGATGGGAGAAATGTCTGCTTCTGCCGGGCCAGAACACTTCAAGAACTACGTCGAACCCTTGATGCGTGCTAGCGAGGAGGCCCTCCAGCTTGGCCACTCCAGACTAAAGGAAAGTACTTACCTTTTCTGGGGCTCTATGTCCAGGGTTTACGGTGAAGATTTCACTCCCTTCTTGGATGGAATTGTCAAAGGACTCTTCGCATGCCTTGACCAGGAGGAAACTGACCTTGAGGTTGAGCTGGGCGAGGCTGCTAAGGACCTTATTGGCCAGGAAGTTACCATTGCTGGCCGCAAGGTTCGTGTCGCAGGTGGCGATGATGACGACCAGGACGTTTCTACGCTTGATGACTCTAACATCGAAGACGTCGATATTGATGGTGAGGACGACTGGGAAGACCTAACCACGGTGGGGCCCCTCGCCCTTGAGAAGGAGATTGCCGTTGAGGTCATTGGCGATATCATCACCCATGCCAAGAAAGCCTATCTCCCCTATTTCGAAAAGACCATCGAACAGATTTTGCCTCTTTGCGAGCATCCCTATGAAGGTATCCGAAGGAGTACTATCAGCACTCTTCACCGCGCGTACGCTGCCCTCTGGCAGGTTTGTGAAGAGTCTGGTCAGATGCAGAAATGGGTGCCTGGCAAGGGAATGGATATGATTGAGCCACCCGCTGAGCTCAAGAAACTCACCGAAATTTTGGTCACCGCCACGATCAAGATGTGGGCAGATGAAGAAGACAGGTACGTTGAGGGCAATCCTTCTTTTCACCTTTACTTCTGTTATTTTCATGTTACTTTAATTGTATTATTCATTGCCAGTATATTTTCTATGATGACACCACTTCGTAATCCCAGCTCACTCATACACACAAAAATGTGTGACTGATGTTAACGCGAAAACTTCCATCGTGAAGCTGAGAAATATCTAACTGAGCATATGTGATTTTTATTTGTTGCATTTTTACCTGTCTCAGGATCCATATTCTGTTATTAACACTCTAACACTGGCTGCCTGTTGTAGAGAGACTGTCGCCGATATTAACCGCAATGTCGCCGAAAATCTCAAATACTGCGGACCATACTTGGTCTCTGACGCTTCCATTCTTGACAACGTCGTGACTATGGTCACTACCATTATCACCAAGCAACACCCCGCTCAACAGGATTACGGTGCTGATGAAGAAGACCGTGCTGCTCTCGAAGAACTGTCCGAGTACGATTGGGTCGTCATCGACACTGCCTTGGACGTTATTTCCGGCCTTGCAATTGCTCTTGGCGGTAATTTTCTTGGTCTATGGCCTCACTTCGAGAAGACCGTCCTCCAGTATGTTGGCAGCAGCGAACCTCTCGAACGATCCACCGCCACCGGTGTTTTGGCTGAAATCATCTTCGGATTGGCCGACGCTATCACACCGCTCACTACCAAATTCCTTGAACTGCTCCTGCGCCGCCTGAGTGATGAGGATTCCCAGACAAAGAGCAATGCTGCCTACGCCATCGGACGCCTTGTCGAACGATCCAACTCTGACCAGGAAATTATCCAGGCCTATCCTACCATCCTAGAGAAATTGGAGCCCTGCTTGCATATCCCCGAGGCCAGACTCCCAGACAACGCTTCTGGCTGTCTGAGCCGAATGATCTTGAAGCATCGCGACAACGTCCCCGTGGCAGATGTCCTTTCCGCTCTAGTCGATCTCCTCCCCCTAAAGAATGATTATGAGGAGAACGATCCTGTTTACCGCATGATTTGCCAACTGTGTATGTTTATCTTCCCTTCCCCTTTTGAAAATGACACATGTTCGCTAACAGAAATTTCAGACAAATGGGAAGACCCAACCGTCCGCAGCCTAACGCCACGTCTAATCCCCATTTTCGAAGCCGTTCTTACTGGCGACTCGGACCAGCTCGACGATGAGCGGCGCGCCGAGCTCATCGAGCTAGTCTCCTGGTTAAACAAAATGCAACCGGGAGTGGCGAGCTGGGTCGGACAACTGGGTCAATAATTTTTTTTGCCCTCTCAGCCTCTCAGCCATTTCCTTTAACGAATTGAGAACGAGGACCAACGACGATATGGCACAAAATAGATTTTTTTTTTTTTCTTTCTTTCGTTTATTTTCCCTGTTTACGTTTCGAGGATCTATGCATTATGATGTAGAAAACAGAATACCCCCTCCACTGACTGCACGCACACTAGGCGGATGATATGTGAGAATGAGAGTGAGCACTGGCATGGATGGAAATGGCAGGGACTGGGCCGGAGAACATTGGGTAAAAAAGAGTTATAATACCGACATAGCAAGTGGATGAATGAATGAATGAATGGAAGGAATACAACAATATACCCCCGCAGCAAGGTGTGTGAAGAGACCAGGGAGCAGTTTTATCATGGGGAATAAAAGAATATTTTTTGCAATGCATGATAATTTTAACATGGATTTTGATTCTATTTTGATATCATTTGGTAATAAGTGGCCCTGCGTGTCTTTCATTGCGATGGCTATACTTAGCGTCACTAGTATTCAGCTGGCATAAAATACCAGCGGATCTTTCGGGCAGAGAGTTTCCGTTCATATCAAGTGGAGATGAGCTTGAGAAGAACTGGGATGACATGGATCTGTAGAGGATGTAAGGTTGTGTATTTGAATAGTCCCAGCAGCTGAGCATGAGCAATCCCGTCTTTCCCAATTCATTATTGATTACGATTTAGTATAACTAGTTTACGTTTATATACATACCTCAGCTGTCCCACGTCGGGGTGAGAACCTTATGGAAATAGAAAACTTCTGGAAGCTCCCCTTTACAGCGGCCGTCCAAAAATACCTGCAAATCCTTTGCCATCGCTATACCTCCTGAACCTTCACAACGACTTTTCCCTTCATATGCTTCGACATACTGCGCTCATAAGCCTGCATCCAAGGATGACAATGTCAGCCAAGGCTCCGTGCGAGTTACAATCTAACGTAGACTACTACAACGAAAAATAATAAATAGGAAAACCTATTCAAAATAAAAAGAAGCATAACATACCTTCATCACATCGTCCATCTCCCACACCGAATCCACAATAGCCCTCAACTTCCCCTCCTCCACCATCCGCCGCACCTTCTCAATCCTCATCTTGGATGGGCCTGTCGTCACAAAAGAAAAGCCACCGGGACCTCCACCTAGGAAGCTTGGAAGAACCATGATCCTCAGAAACCAAAGGATGGCGCGGCAGATGTTGATGAAGGTCGTGGGTGGGTAGAGCAGCCCGATATTGAGGTACCTTTGCGGGCGGTCGCGGGTGGGACGGGAAAGGTAGGCGGAACTATGGTCGTAGAGCGACTGGATGCCGATGGTGTCGAGGATGACGTCGAAGTGAGAGGTGGAGTAGTGGGTTGCGAGGTACTTGTGTAGGCTGTCGTGCTTGGTGTAGTCGATGATCTATTCAAGAATGTTAGCTGTGGTGCTTCATCAGACTTTGGGGAAGATACAACTCCATTTGCACCCAATTTTCTTCCTTTTCCCATCATACATACATACCTCATCAGCCCCTAAGCTCTGAACCAGTTCTTCATTACGCCCGGAGCAAGTCGCTACAACCCTCCCCGTTTCTCCCAGAATATCTCTCACAATCTGCACGGTCATCAATCCCGTCCCCGAACTCCCACCATTAATAAGCACTTTATCCCCTTTCCTCACGCCCGCTCTCGTAACAAGGTTCATCGCCGTACATCCTGTGACCGTTATTCCCGCTGCTTCTTCAAGGGACACATTATCCGGCTTCCGAATCAAGTTCTCCGCCGTCGCAACGACATATTCCGCTAGGGTGCCGCGGCTCTTACGGGCCACTTCATGAAGGGGATCATTCATGCCCAGTACTGGGGAGCCAAGAGGGAACTCCTCGCGCAGAGCAGCATCCGCATTAGCGGATAGGGCGACGACGACGCCTGAGAACTCAAATTCAGCGACCCGTGGTGTCGTCTTCTGAAGCGGGATGGTTGGGTAGACGTTCAGGATGAGCCGCATGGTAGGATTTATGGAGGCATGAGAAACCTTTATGAGGAGCTCTGTTGGGGCAAGGGCTGAAGGCGAAGGGGTGGGGTAGGACGTGGATAGCTGGAGGATATCCGGGGGAGAACCCGCTTTCGTATAAGTCCATGCTTTCATTGTTGGTGGAAGGGAAGGGGAATCGCCCGGAGACATGGTCATGGTGGGTATCTGGATCCCTTTGACTAGCACGCCTATGCTTTGAGAGATCTTGTTTGGAGTTTCTTAGATAACAACAAATGGATTTGGGCCTATGAGGCAGGATTTCTTCGTGGAAGAAATATTTAAAACTGGGAAATTTAAGACACTTGGATATATTTATCCTTCGGCATTATAGATCAGTTCGGGCACATTCATGTTCGGCGTCGTGGCGTTTCAACGCATTGTAACGCCCCGAAAATGGAAGAAAGGACAGGAGAGAAGAGCTCCAAAAAACGGACACTCCCGTAACCATGCGGAGTTAAGAGATTCGAGATATCACAAAGTACCCGCTCTGCTGGCTAAGTAAGTACATCATCATCATCATCATCAGCATCTCAGCTCTCTGGCGGTAAAGCCTTGATTGAGAATAATGAATTAGGGTTTCGGTGCCCGAAAAGGGGGGCGAGCCAAGCCTTTTTATAACCCCGAACGTAAATACCTCCGAACCGGGTGATATGGCCTCTTTTGAGCGCTCTTTGTGTCTATCGAGGAGCGGATTTTGGTATTTGCTAGTCGAGGAAACTAGCCTGGTAGTCGGTCTTCACAGCAGAATCTACTTCCTGTGCATGGAACATATATTCTTTTCGAAGTCATAAAAGGACGCCAGAGTGCGTGCTTCCACCCAATTGATAACTACAGGTGTGCAATCACCTGCTTAGCTACCATGCGACAAAGAAGATGACTTAACTCCAATTGGGCTTGAAATCCGTGGGAATAGTTAATAATATCACAGGCAGACGGCAAGACGAGAAGCGCTAGAACATTGAACACATTGCACATTGGCGTCAAACTGAGGCAGCAATATGTCAATTCATCGAGCATTAAATAACTTAGCCTTGGCACATCGCGCCCGCGAAACACTTTCTATTCTAACCTTAGGAAGAGGAGCATTCTGGGGATGTTTCATGATATCTGGTGAAGATACGTTTTTATATCATTCAACTATGCTGCATGTGCAGTTCAACTTTATAGAGAAATAATAGTTAGAGTTCTTCCACCACTTTTAATTAATTCCAAGGGCCTCTGACGAAAACATGGCTACTTCACATTCAACAAGTCAAGCACACAGTCACACAATCCGTGAGAAGGCAGTCTTTTATTCTCTTATTCCGATCTTCAGTAATTGTTACTCTGTCTACACGAGCGACAACTTGTTCCGCTATAATCACTATATGGGTAGATACACACAATGCTAACTAGAAATTCTAGCAATTCGGCTCCTCATCGCGTTCACACCCCAAACAAACAAATCCCTCCACTGGCGCCAGAAATTAGCACTCACCTCTCTACAAGTGCAAAGGGCTACATATTCTACAAAAGAGCTCCTCAGTAACCTTTGAAAGAGCCCAACCGGGACGGCAATTGAGGGGCTACTGCACCACACGCGGAATCCCGCATAAAGCAATCATCGTGAACCGTATTTCTACTCACGCCACCGCCAACCTTGCACTTTGTCACCCCCATATCAGCCACCGCAGATGGCCCAACGCTGCTGTATTTCCATGGAGGGAGATATGTCAACCCTCTGAGAGCCGCTGGTCATATGCCCTATACCCTCGGTGCGGTACAGCCTGCAAGGCCAAAGAAATAGTCTTCCTCGAGTACGCTCTAGCGCCGGAATATCAATACCCAGTTCAACTCATCCAAGCCGTGGCTGCCCTTCGTTACCTTCTAAACGATCTGTCATTGAGAGTTGATGATATTATAATCGCTGGCGACAGCGCGGGTGACAATTTGGCAGGGTCTCTACTAGTGCATATCGCCAAAGCATCACTCACCGTACACAGCACCGCTGGATATTGGTGGTGGGCAACTTAGAGCCGTGCTATTTGTAAGTCCCTGACAGAATGATGACAGTTGATCAAGAAAGTTATGAGACGAATGATGGGAAGGATTACATTGATGGGCCCATAGCCCTCCGGTTTAAGGGGGTGTGGAATCCCACTAGGGGAGATGCATGGGCAGACCTATGCGAAGGGGAAGGCACTGATGAAGTTTGGCGTCAAGTGTTTCCGGCATCAGGGGGCCCGCCGGGTCTAGTCAAGAAGGCGATGGTTACAGCAGGGACGGCCGAAGTTCTTCTGGACAGTTGTCGGAGGTTCGCCAGGGATTGTGTGAAAGCAGAGACTGTTGTTGCTGGCCGCGGATCCGATTGGAGTGCCTTTGACAGGAAGACCTTTGTTTATGCGGAGTGTGAGGGCGAGATCCATGTTCAACCTGCTCTAGATTGCGGTCGGGTATAATAATGGACCCATAATTCAAGCGATCCTCAGGTGGTTGGAGAGCGTATAGTGGTGTCACAGAGCATCCCAATGGTCAGAATGCCAGTTCTATGAAGACGGAATTCTGTAGCGCTGGTCAGGAAATGAGGCGATATGATTCAAAACAGTCTTGAAATGGAACTTTGAATAATGTTTGAACCCACCCACCACATATGTCACTCTTTTCAAGTTGCATTGAATCTATTACTAGTGCACGAAGTTTCAAAATGTAAGTGCAAAGCATTGCGATCACATTAGGAGAACTCGTAATTAGTATATACATACTTCCAGATCATACATATCAAATAGAAATATAAGAGTAATACAGAGGATGTCAATGTTGTTCACTGAGTTCCAATGAGCGCAAGATAGTTTGAAAGTCACATGCTGTGGGTTAACTAGCAAAGGATTTGTCACTATCATAGGCTGCCACCAGTACGACAGCCTAAATATAGTGACATTATAGGGCTGAAACCGATGACGAAACCTATAACGTCCAGTTCAACTCAACCACGCATATCGACATTTTATCAACCGCTATCGAAACAAGAATCAGAGCAAAAGTAGGTACAAATATAGATACAAAGGCATTGGCCATGACTTTCTGGCCATTCTAAATACCACCCGTACTTCATGAATAGCTATATGGACTACACATCGAGAACCCCGGGCTAATAGTCCCTTGACAGGAAAACCTACCAGCCAACAGGCGTCCCTAATCATCTACCTCCACGAAACAGACAAATACTTCCCTTCGCAAAACCCCGAAAATAATGGCCTCAACCATCGTCTTCCAGCCCGTCAACCACACTCTTCCTACATCTTCGGGCTCCTCAGCTTCATCGACCGTTAGCAAGCCCGTCAAGGGAGCAACCAAGCCCTGCTTTGGCTGTGGCTGTGGTGGTGAAGAATGTGATTGTTTCATCTGCGTCGTTATGTGAGGACGTCCTTTGTAATACCGACAATCGATGAACAATAACTGGCGGAAGATTTTCGCTCTATCTGGGTTTGGGAGTCTTCAAAGGTGTTTGGCGGTGGAGATATATACCCCGCTTCTCGCTAAGGAAGAAACTGCTCCCAGTTGGGATGGATGGGTTGATATGTTTAAGAGTTTTCATGTGTCATGTGGGTTATTTTATGGACTTTGCGGCCATTTACTTCGTTTCTTTTTAAGCAAGCGGGCATTTATTTGAATGGAGTGGAGGTTGTGGATGTAGCATGAATCAGGGGATGATTCCATCCTATGATAAGGCACGGTGTATGATATAGGTGTTCAATTTTACCAATTTTATTTGTCCATCTACCCAAAGAAATTTAACAAATTGTATGTACAATACTAAATGTTTGTAAACGCAAGAAACGAGGAGCTAAAGAGCCAAATAAGGTACTTAAAAGACAGAGCAGGAAATGGAAGGGGTAAAAAAGAGAGAGAAAGAAAGAAGGAAAGGAAAGGAAAGATACGCCATCTTGTAGACTCAGCTCAGAGGATAAAAGTAGATATTACACACTACCAGCACCACCAAAGATCACGCATGCCTGTATAGCTCTCCGCCGATCAATCTCTTTCTTCAGCATCAGCAGGCAAGTAGCCACAATTAACGGCTCATCTATTACTTCCGCTGTATCTCGACCAATCACAAGCTCCCCACCATTCCCTGCCGTGCACCGAGACGTGTTAGGTGGCCTCGTCCGTTTATTCCGCAGCAGGTGCGCCACTCGTTTCCGACCGGAAACTTCAAATTTCTCTAGGACAACAAGCACTTCCTTCTTCCCATCCGGCCCACATTCCTTCACATACCTCCATTCAAACACCGACCCATCCGGCAATGAAAAGTTGGTTGCTCGGGACGTCCATTTCCCTTTAATTTTAACCTCTGGAGACGCCTTCTCAGACCCAGTTAGAATATGAATTCTGGGCTCCCTATTGGGGCCGAAGAAGTATTCGGTGAATAGCAGGTCGCCACACTCGGGTGATGAGAGAGTGGAGCTACCTGAGCAGCGGCTCTTGCGTGTGGATACGTATGCGAGTGATGTATCCGGGTTGTGGATGTGAATTTCTAGCTGTGAGGATGGAGTGGGTAGGCGCACAAGCGCCTTTCCACGAGCGTCGATGAATAGAGAGCGACCGGGCGTGAAAGAGGCTGGGGTGTTCACAAGCGTCTCTGCAGTTTCAGTTGAGATAACTGAGACCGAGGAGCTCTTGAGAGTTTCCTTCTCTTTTGCTAGAGAGGCGCTGTCTGCGAATGGATTGTCTGATGCTATCATGGTGATATATTGGATATTGGAATATGCACCGTTGTGAGATGAATAGTAGAAGGGTAAACAGATAGCCTAAGGTTTATGAGGACAAAATGAATGTAGAAATCTGTATTATTGTTATTGAGAACTTGAATATAAGAAGTTTAAGAATCATCCTCATCTAGAGGGGCGGGAGCGAGCACTCTTTATCGTCAATGGCAGTGAACCACTCGGAGAAAGTCTCCCCAAAAAAAGCCATACCGCTCGCCAACTGAAAACTTACTCTGCATTACCCTGTAGCCTAGAGAACAATTCATCATCATTCACCATCGCCACTGTTTCGTTGGAGGCGCAGGGCCCTTGAAGGGAAAGTTCGTATCTCGCATCTCTCTCCGGTCTGACCCTGATGCGGCTGAGCAATTACATCAGCGTGTCGATGAATTAAGCTATTTCCTAATGGGGAAAAAACTCGTTTTCGGTCAAACCTTAATTTTGTAATTAAGGTTCAGTCCAGCTTATGTAATGACACTAGCTCCTTTTCTTGGGGAACGCTGAAGCCGAGTTCAGTCGATCACAACACTGACGGCGGGACGACGACATTATTCTTTTGCTCTGTTCTCTAAAATTAGGGGGTTGGCGAAGCCAGCAGATAGCTGTCCAATTCCTTAGAACCCGGACACGACGGTGAGGCTGTGGTCCCATAAACTAGAACCCCTCTCCAGTAAGATTGTTCAGCTCTCTTAGCCATCAACACCTCCATCGTTCAATGTTTAACTTGCTTTCTAGGATCACACGTAGCAGATGGTTGCAAAGTTTGCCATTTTTCTATTACGGCATGCCACTAGTAATCTAATATCTGCCTCCTCTACTAAGTTACTTGCTAGACGACAATTGGCACTATCGTTACAGGTGATATAATAAGCTAGCAGTAGGGCTTGATAACCCATGCTTCAGCAATGTCGTTAATCAAGCGCGCCATTCGGCTTGCATCCGTGCCTGTTATCTTTCTACTAGCTCTGTTTGCCCTACGACCATCTGCGGTAAACACTTACCTTGATGTCGAAGGTTGGCGCTACTATTGGCCCCCAACTCCTTCACTGCAAGTCATTCTCCCATCCTGGGCGCGTGTGGCCGTTTTACTGGGAGGCATAGAGGCACCAGCTGTGAGAATTCGCCAAGGTATAGTAATCGGGAAAGTTCTCAGAGGTGATCTGCCAAAACCCGTTGAGGCGTTTCTTGGAATCCCATATGCGCTGCCACCAACGAACGAACGGAGGTTCAGCCCGCCGGTGCCTGTCAATGCATCGAATAGCACTATCGATGCCACCAGTTATGGCAAAAGGTATTACTTAAATCTCAACTGAATCAATCGTCTCGGAGGTTGAAATCTACAGAACCAAACCCTAATCGAAAGAATAGATGTTCATCACCTCCACTGCTACTCTACGGATGGTCTGAAGATTGTTTGACTGTGAACATATTCCGTCCTCAGATGCAAAATAGGACGAGAAAATTACCAGTAGCAGTATATTTCCATGGTGGAGCATTTAACGGTGGCAGCGGTACGTACATCAGCGCATGCTCTTTAACTGGAAGTGGGAACTCATACCGCAGTAGGGGGAGGCCACAACTCCGCCTCTATGATGGCCTGGTCTGAGAAGCCATACGTTGCCGTAAACTTCAATTATAGGTGAGACTTGATAATCTTCGTTTATGTGGCTGCCCATGCGCTAGCGCTAATATACTTCATAGGCTTGGGGCATTTGGCTTCCTCTCATCAAAAGTTGCTGCCAAGGATGGCGTGCTCAATGTAGGGCTACGTGACCAGATCCTCTTGTTGAAATGGGTACAGGAAAATATTGAAGCTTTCGGGGGCGATCCAAACGACGTCGCCTTATTTGGGCTATCAGCTGGAGCACACTCAGTAAGCATTGCTAGACTTAAAACCTCCATACAAACGTTCCGCTAACATCACCAGATCGGCCATCATGTCATGCATTACAAAGAAGAAGTGCCGTCCCTTTTTCACAGAGTAATTATGGAATCTGGGGCTGCAACCTCTCGCGCCGTTTACCCCTACTCCCACAGTCTCCATGAGCTTCAATTTGAAGAATTCCTCGTTGAAGCCGGGTGCTCTGGTTTGGAAGAGGATGAGGTCATGCTATGCCTGCGAAGCAAATCGGCATTAACCATTGCTTGGGCCTCGTCCAAGATCTTCTCCCGATACGAACCCTCAGATCGATGGGCATTCCAACCAGTCATCGATGGCGATATCATCAAACAAGCTCCTGTCCAAGCTTGGAAATCCGGTAACTGGAACAAAGTGCCAATCCTCACCGGTTTCAACACGAATGAAGGCACCTCCTTTGTTCCCTCAGAGATATCCAAGTCAGAAGAATTCATAAACTTCTTTCGCCTGCTCATTCCCGCTATGCCCGAAAAAGACCTCAACAAGCTTGACCAGTTATATCCAGACCCGCTCAAGTACCCATCTTCTCCCTACGTGGAGACACGAAATATAAGAGTTGGCGCCCAGTTCAAGCGTGTTGAAGCCGCTTACGGTCAATTCGCCTATATATGTCCTGTTCGACAAACAGTCCACCTTGCCTCGGGAGCACAGCAAGCACCAGTATTTTTGTACCACTGGGCTCTGAATAAGACCGTGAAGGGCGGAGCAAACCACGGAGACCAAGGTGAGTACGAAACATATAACCGTGGCGTTCGACAAATTTCCGCCGCCCAGGACGAAATTGCTGGCATTCTCCATGCATACTTCACGTCCTTTCTTACCACGGGTGACCCTAATGCGGTGCCCGGTAGATTTCCAGATAGACCCAAGTGGAAGCCTTTTGGTAGTGGGTGGTGGTGGAAAAATAGGACGCTTATGCTATTTGGGGAAGGGAATGATGAGCGGGCAGGGGGCGGTGGGGTTGGGATTCCGGCACAGGTAGTGGACGATGACTGGAGTCAGGAAGAGTGTGAGTTTTGGTCGGATAGGAGTATCATGACGGAATCTTAATGCCCCGGCATGTAGTTATATATATATATGTGTGTGTGGGGTGTGTTATGCGAGGGCAGTTTAAATATAGGGAGGAAAGTTTCTGTTTTATTCGCTTCTTATTCAATGTAGATAATTTAACCCAGTCACAGACGTCATTTTTATTGGAGATATGAGGGTATCTGACGTTCATCTATCTATATATTTGTATTCACGGCGCGCGAACATTTACCTCTCTATACTATATATAATATATTCCCTTCATTCCATAGCCACAATCAAATTTCCTTCTAAATGCTCTTCTTACTCAATTAGATCCAAAAAGCCGTAGCAAACCCAAAAGTCCATCCAAAGAATGGTCCTCTCACAAAGCCCCTCCTTGCGCCTGCACTTTGGCCCACTTATACTTCCCTATCAATAGCGTACTAACGACCGCCGCACTGCCAACGGTCAAGTCATCAACATCCAGCCACCCGAGTGACTGCGCAGGGATCAAAATGTCACATCCAAGGGCAACAAGTTCCGACAACAGGCGGGCGGTATTGGTATTCGTATTACCAGCAGGAGCAGCATTGGCCTTTTCACTTGTTTTCTCTGTTTCCCATTCGGAGCCCTTCTTTTTATTTTCCTGTTTGACATTGCTGGACTTAGTGTATTCGGTTTTGGGCGAGGAGACCGGCACGAATAATTGCCATATAATCCCCACGCTAGCGAAGACCATGGAGTAGAACCAGAACTTGTAACTTTCGAGAAGGACCTGTTCAGCCCAGGGGGTTGGATAAATGTTTAGAGCGTCGAGCTGGGGGCTCAGATCCGTTAGTAGGTGATTACAACTTTAATCATTCTAATATCTCACTGGCATACAGAGAGATAGAGGCAAGATCCCTTTACAGGAAAAAGCGTACACAAGATTCCACCATGAAAAGAAATGAGAAAATTGGAGGAGGTCAACTCACAATCGTGGAAGCTTCCAGGAGTATGTAGCCGCCCAAACAACTCCATTCTCCCACCGCCATGGTCTGCAGCACATATCCGCTAGCAGCTACCGCATCTTGCCCCGAGAAAATCCCCCAGGCCCGGTCAAAGCAGTCGATGAATTGGAAGTAGCGGAAGTATCGGCGACCTGAGACAGAAGAAGAATTCTTAATGAGATATTCGGCAAGTTTCGTTTTTGCATTTGCTCTTATATTTCTTCTGGAGGACATAATCCCGGATATACAGCGACCAAAAGAAAGCACAGTTCCCACGGCTAGGAGCATTTAGTGTGAAGAAGAAAATGCATATATCAATTTACACATTTGGTAGAACGAATGGAAATGGGGTATGAATCCCTGCCATTGCTAGGGGTCTCCCTACATAAGCACTGGCATGTATGGATATATGTCCGCATCAAGTAGAGATAGACATTGGTATTTCTGGACGAGAGATACTCCAGAAGAATCACCTTCTTTTTCTTTTTTTGTGAAGAACAAGTAGATAGTTATAGAGTAAGAGGGGATATCAGATATGACATACTCAGCGCCAAATTCGTGAAAGCCTTCGTCCATGGCTCTGCCTCAGCCGCCGACACCGCCGACGCTGAGATGACCTGGCATATCGACTGGATCAGACGCAGGAAGTTCTCCAGGCCTACGCCGGAGTTTGTGTAATTCGTAAATTGCTTGAGGAGGGGTTGGGGGGGTTGAGGGTTGGGCATGCTTAAAGCTTGGGGAGGGGGGGTGCTCTGAAGGCGAATTGTAGAATAAGAATGAGACGAAAGGCAATGGTAATATCAGAAAAGAAATGTGGAATCTATCCAAGAGAGATATATATTTTTCTTTTCCCTTTTGTGTGTGGGATGTGCAAGTGGTTGGTGGGTTTTTGGGTTTTTTGATAGGATTGACTCTTCGTATTTGTGCCGGCAGCGCTAGTTATTTAATAGATGGCCTGGCTTCCGTTACTCCGCACTTCGGCCAGAGATCAGCGGATGCCTGAGCTGTTTTCGGATGTGAAACTGAGATCGGAAGCATTTTCGTTTGTGCAATTTCCGGCAGGTAGTAGAAGAAATAGCTCGAAAAGTGTGCCGGGCAGGTCATAGTCAAATAATTTCGTTACGTTATCTGTCTAAGATCGAAGATCTCCATCTAAAGGAAACAAGAAAAGCCCTTTCAACATTCCATCCCAATACCACTTCGCTCTCTCTCTACCGACCCTTCCCGCCAGAAATATCCTGCCCAAGCCTATACCCACCCACCTTCTCCCACTCAACCTTTTGCCGTGTAATGGGCAATTGTCTGCGCAGGCCTTTAAATGCCCCCTCAGATAATCTACTAAAAGCATCGCTGAGTTCGAGCTGCTGTGCCCGTTCCGCAGCAGCGATGCGCTTGATGATGGTATCTGCGGAAGAATTGGGAGAGAGGGATATCGAGACGGGTTTCGTAGTGTTTAGTGATACGTTGCCATCTTCGTAGTAGTGGACGTTTATGTGGATAGTGCCTGTTATGGTGTCTGCGGAGGGGATGGGGACAGTGTAAATGGCTCGGTAGCGGCCGTTCCTGTGTGTGGTGATTTTCGTGTTAGCTTTTTTTTAATATAATAAAACATATTTGCTGGTAGTTGTTTACGCAGCGGTTGACAATTTATATGGTAGGTTATAGATTAAAGAACACATACCAGAAATTGTTTGGGGAATATTTGTTCGCAACTAAAAGAATGGCAGCGGCAGAGTCATTGTCCGTTGGATACACACCATACGAGCAGCTTGGATAATGCTCTCGAGCATGTGTTGAGAGCGATTTCAGGAGCGATTTACTTCACAATCGTCAAACTAGGTAACTCCCAGACGAGGAAGGCAAGGATAAAACAACATACATCAAGTCGGAGTGCTGTGACTCTAGGACATAGGATTGTGGTGATGAGGCGGTCTATGCCCCCAATGGTTGATACTGTCAGCCAAAATTCACCGTTTACACAACCTGTAGGCTGCGCGCCAGCGTGATGTATAGAGGTAAGGGATATATACGAACCTGAGTGACATGATCAAACTCAAACGATGTCTGACTCTCTACATCGTAGTATCGATTGCCGTCAAGCTTATTATATGCACTCACGATAACCTACAACCCTCGCGGTTATCGTCAATAATCCGCACAGATAAGCAATAACAACCCCACAGAGAAGGGGGCTCTTCTATTCCAATTCCATGGCTATAATGCGACAGATGTATACATTTTCACTGCCACCAGGCAACTTCACAGTCGCCAGTTGTCCCTCGTTATAGTTCTCGAAGGCGGGTGTGAGAGATGAGATGAGACTCGGTCCCTCAGGCGTCAATGCTTTTATATCTGCGAATTTCGACAATGATTGTAGCCGGGTCAGTTATCTGGAAGTCTGAAGGGGAGGGGTGAAGCGATCTCGAGGAATGAAGAACCGGGAGGAAGTTGGAGATTGTTATGATATGCTGGGTATTTACCTGCAACAACGTCCGAGAGCTACCCCGAAAGTTAGCATCCTGCCGCGTAATATGAAGAAAAATTAGATGGTATATGAAGATAATTGTTTACTCATACCTCTCCTGGCGGCGCACCTCGAATAAACGAGGATGCAATCTCTAGGTTTGATGGCATGGTGCAGCTACAACTAGTGCTAGAGGAGGGGTGTGAGGAAGTGCAGAAGCAAACTGAAACAGTAATTTGGGTTAAAATCTCAAAAGAATAACAATTACGTCGGTAGTGAACAGGGTAACGGTCTATTTCACAAGGGAGAAAGATAAATATGCCTTTGTCGGTCATCTTTTGAATCTCCCCGCCCCGTTGCCACTGTGGCGCGCGGGATGGTGAAACGTTTAAAACAGCCGCCAATCATTAAACGCGCTAGCCGCAACCGCCCCAGAAAAGAGGTATGAGGCAGCAGTATATTCTCAAAAATGACCATTTCTAGCCGTCTGACATGATTTAGAAAAATGTCATTCTGTCTTGAGAAGTGGTTGAAACTTAGGTAGCTGATATTTGGGTGGTAATAGCAAATTGTACATGAAATAACTCAAGAAAAATGTGCATTAATGAAAAGGAACACTCGTAAATGAGGATGTCATAAAAAAAAAAAAGAAAAAAATCCCACGCGCCTCCGCTAAATACCCACAGATGTAATAAGCGAAAACCACAGTAGATCCCGAATATGCAGACGAAAATCTCATTGCAATAGAAGGAAAGGGGATAGGAAATGAAAAAGAAAATCGTTAACGACACACAAGAATATAAATTCCCCCAATTCCCCTCCGCGCCCATTCAGTCAATGCTCATATTCATCAGCCCGTCATTCGTTTCATTCATTCCCTGCATCCCAACCCTCTTCATAGTACCACCCTCTCCTCCCCGCCCCGTCTTCCCAGGAGTCGAAGTCACAGGATTCTTCGACTGCTGCTGCGGTAGCTGCCCCTGGCCACCACCTTCCAACCGACTAGTACTGTCCTTACTAAAATATGAAGTTGACGACCCCGACGACGACGGCTGAGACGCCCCAACGGGGCTATTCTGCAAACACATCCCCGGCGACACCGCCCGCCGCTTGAAGGTGTTCATATCGATCATCTCATCGCGTCTGCGTTTGTTGTTTTTGCGCGATGCTTCAGCTTCGACACGTGATGGGCCAGCGGCGTTGGATAGTTGCGAGATGCTGTTGATGGTGGAGGTAGCGTGTTGGCCGGGAGCGATCAGGAATGTGGATGGTGGTGTTTGCATCATTGCGTCGCTGGTAGAGGTGGGGTTGGAGGAGCCAATTAGTTGGTTGGTAGGGGGTGGTGGTGTTTGGTATCGGGTATCAAAGGCACTTAAGCGTCCTAAACCAGTGGCTTGGTGGTTGGTGAAAATGTTTGATGATGATCGCCCTCCCATAGACAGACTGGTGGCAACATCCCTCGCAACATCTATATTATGGGAATCCGACAAGTCCAGCGGGGATGTCAACGATGGGGAAAGCGGAGGTAATTCGCCGCCTTCGCTCTCACGAACCTGCCGGATAACTTCCGCTTCGCGCTGACACTCGAAATCAACAGGGGCAACTTCTTCAAGCAGCGCTGCCCTGATCCGGGCGAAGTTCTTCGTTTTTGGCTTTTGTATGAACATGTTAGCGGATTAAGCCTTTTAGAATAATAATACGGGCCGAACTGTACCAGTAAATTCCCTCTCCTCGTTACCGGGCGTCGAATTACACCATGAGGTCCGCTTTCTATGTTGGTGCCTCCGGGTAATGGAGCACTGGAAGGGCTACCGACCCGTGCTAGCCGACTCTCATCATCGCTCAGGTCTGACAGGTGAAGGTCGCTAGTGCCAAGGCTTAAGCTTTCCCGGCGTGACTTGACTTCGCTCATTGACATTTCTCTGGGGAAATAGCCAGTAGCAGAGCTCTCAACGCTTTTTAAGACAGGGGGAGATATTGGGCCTGGGCTGAGTTTCGAGCTATTACCACTATTGCTGCTCGAGCTATGTCTACTCCTACCACTGCGCAGCCGAGCACGTTGGAAGCTCATGAGGCTAGCTTTGGCGGCAGAAAGCCCGCTCATCCAATCGCCACCAGGACTTTGAGCTGTGCTGGGGGAAAACGGCGTTGAAAACGTATTTCCCGGACGAGCCATTTGTGGGGTCAATAGGATCGGATCCTCTCTATCGATGATATGCATGGATTCGTCCTCATCCTCGTCGCCACTACTAGTAGTATCAGATTCGAACATGTTGACACTACTCACGGAGCTGGATATGACAGTCCGATCACCGTGGCCGAAGGATTGCCATGTACCGCCTGACATGTTTGGAGAACCCATTCCTGTAGAGTTGATGGTGCTTCGACGATTGGGTATAGCTACTCCACGACCAAGAACGACGGGGGAGGAGTCCGGCGACGATTCGGCAAGGGTAGAATGATGTAGGTTCGTGCATGCGCGGGAAAAATCCAGTCCCCTGGACCGTCGTGGTAATACTGAGGCGGGTGAACCGTATATGTGTGAAGAATCCAGTTTTGGGGAGAGGGGAACTCGATGTCCTCCTGCGACAGGGCTCCCAAACATTCTCGACGGCATTTGTAACAATAGTCCATGCGCAAGGCCATCGGGCCTGTGAGGCGTTGCTGGAGCTGCTGTTACAGCCGTATCATCCTTGGTGCGTTGGATATTTAGGGGATTCGGTGAAGCGGAGGACAGGGTCCGTGAAGAAGCGTCAGAAAGAGAACGACCTTTCATTGGGGAGCGACTTTTAGCTGGAGTCTCAGTGCCAGACCCCGCAAGTCTAGCTGCACCCTCCAATCCGGTCATCTTTTGTCTAAGCTGCTCCGTCAATTGGCTCCCGGGAGGGGAGGCAGAGGAGACAATGGAGGCACCGTTTTGTGCACTTGTAATAGCGGACATGCTGGTATTTCTGAACAAGAGGGAGTCTGGGGCCGCAATCAGAACAGTGAGCTAAGGACATATAGCACTGGGGAAGGTCGTGGGGTTTATGATAATGCTTGGTGAACGCTTATCGTCCCAACGCCAAGCGTAAAGGACGGCGTCTGTGGTTTAAGCTTCGATAGAAGAGGTCATGGCTGACGTGTGTAAGCATGGGCGTGAAGCATCATCGAAAGAAAGTTCATAACCCTTTTCAGGCCCTGACAGTCAGGATTGAGAGTTATATCTGCGAGGTGGGAACAATAGATGGGCGTCACTGACTCGGTCTGACAAGCGCAGCGCGGGGAATCTGTGATACGAGCAGGTTGATTGATAGCGGCAAAACACGAGCGGTGCAGGCTTGGCCATCTATGACGAAAATTTAGGATTTATTGGGGTAGTCACGTGTGCCTGGAAGAACCATGGGAACGATCAAAGGTAAATAGCGTAAGGTTCATGTTCTCAGGGGCGTGGTTATGCCTAAATCCGTTACCTAAGGCATCGCTGACTTAGGTGCCCCTGTAGTTAAGAACCTTAACTAGATTTTTTTTAGGGTGCTGAAAATCATTAGTTACCGTATCGTATCGTATCATGGGGAATTACCTTACATGGTTTAGCACCAGGTTTAGCACAACATCACTCCCGAGGTCCTTTCTGAACTATATAAACTCACTCCTTCACTGCTTAAACATCTTCTCTTCATCATCTCCATTTTCCCTTTCTTTTCTCACAATTCTCTTGTCTTGTGTGTGCCATGTCTATCCCTCTCTCTTGATCTCTACTGCTAGTGTCATCTGGCCCAGCTGTGCTGCAGCTGAAACTGTTTTCAACATAATGATTAATTTGATTATGTTCACTTCTCTCTTTCTCAATGCAATTTCATCTCACTCTAGTACTCTACTGTCAAGTTACTCTAAAATCATACACAGGTTGAGATCTGCTGCTGAGATATCTGATCTACTCAGAACTGTAACTGACTGAGATTTTCTGTTCACTTTGTTAATCTTAGGGCCTGTTCGGTGCGTCCGTGTGTACTCGTTCTTTTTGTACGGATCTCCACTTTTTTTAAAAAGTACGGCCCCAATCTCATGACTGTTCGGTGGGCAGAGTGTCTGTACTAATAGTACAGCTGCTTTTTACAAAGTACAGATGAAAAAGGCCAGGTGTTTGGTGGATTGAGCGGCCGTACTTGCATCTTTTGCCAAGATCTTATGAATAAGCCATATTTAACTTCAACAGTGTGTGATGGTGTAGAATAGCGCTTTTAGAGGCAATATAGTGTAGAATAGCATTCATAGTGGAGGCAGTTAACTAATATTGGTTAGAAAGAAGCTTACAAAAACGCGTTCTTTTTGAACGGACTCTGGACTCCGTTCAAAAAGAACGCGTTTTGTAAGCTCCTTCTTTCTCCATCCCATCCTACAGAAGAATATTGTCAGCAAAGATCATCAAGGTGGTGCAACGCCGGCTTGCTACTAAATAATTGGTAAATACGCTATTTTTAATGAGATCCACTATTGCGTTCAAAAAGTACGGACGCACCGAACAGGCCCTTATTTTCTTATCATATATACGACTAGTCATTGCTTTACATTCTATTTTTAGTGTTTTGAGTTCTGTACATCTAGGGCCTGTTCGGTGCGTCCGTACTTTTTGAACGCAATAGTGGATCTCATTAAAAATAGTGTATTTATCAATTATTAGTAGCAAGCCGGTGATGTGCCATCACACTATTCCAATATTCTTCTGTAGGACGGGATGGAGGAAGAGGTCTGGACTATGTTTAAGAAGAACACATTTTTATGAGCTTCTTTCTAATCAATATTAGTTAACTGCCTTCACTATGAACACTATTCTACACTATATTGTCTCTAAAAGTGCTATTCTACACCATCACACCGTTGAAGTTAAACACTGCTTATTCATAAGATCTTGGCAAAAGATACAAGTAACAGCCACTTATTGTGGCGGACATATTACTTGCGAAAACAGAATTTTCCCAGCCCCCCCTGAAAATTAGTAGCAAAACACCACCAAAAAATCAAAATATCCGCATTTCTCTAGAATCATTCAATATCATTCAATACACGTCTTTTTCAATCAAATATCATCCAAATACGCGTCTTTCTTACCTTTATCATCAAATCCACATATATCAATCAACCCTTTTTTCAATATGCCTCGCAATGCCCGCTGTCCTGCTGCTTTATAAGCCTGTACAAAGACTTCTATCCTGCGCCTCAGTCTCCTCAAACTACCTGTTCCAGAAGTTCTGGATAATGGAGAGGATCCGGTCAATGATGAGATAGAGGAGCAGATGGATGAGAAGGATATAGAGACTCAGTCTGAGGATTCTTGATATCCGCGAATCCCTACACCTGAGTCTGACATCTCATACAGATTGTATGAACGGGTGATTATCAATGAGATAAAGAATAAGAGAGATGATGAAATGATTAATGAGTAGAAAGAAGAAGAAGAATCAGAAGAATGAATCTATAATTTCTATAATCAATTCTTCTATACAGATCTCTCAAATGTCAGTGATTATATTCCCTCCTTCAGCTCTGACAGCTTCAACTTCATTCAATATGGCATTCTCAAGTGAGATAATCAATGTGATGATGATGAAATATATGATGAAAGGAATAGAAGAACTGAATTCACAATCTCATTATCATCCACATTCAGATCTGCTGTTCAATCTTCCATCAAATCCACCGTTGAATCTTCCATCGAATACACTGTTGAAATCTTCCATCGAATCCACCGTTGAATCTTCCATCGAATACACTGTTGAAATCTTCCATCGAATCCACCGTTGAATCTTCCATCGAATCCACCGTTGAATCTTCCATCGAATACACTGTTGAAATCTTCCATCGAATCCACCGTTGAATCTTCCATCGAATCCGCCATTGAAATCTTCCATCGAATCCGCCATTGAAATCTTCCGTCGAATACACTGTTGAAATCTTCCATCGAATCCACCGTTGAATCTTCCATCGAATCCGCCATTGAAATCTTCCATCGAATCCGCCATTGAAATCTTCCGTCGAATCCGCCGTTGAATCTTCCATCGAATATACTGTTGAAATCTTCCATCGAATCCGCCGTTGAATCTTCCATCGAATACACTGTTGAAATCTTCCATCGAATCCGCCGTTGAATCTTCCATCGAATATGCCGTTGAAATCTTCCATCGAATACACTGTTGAAATCTTTCATCGAATCCGCCGTTGAAATCTTCCATCGAATCCACCATTGAATCTTCCATCGAATCCGCTGTTCCATCTCCAATTCAAAGCAGTCCAATACCTCAATTTGATGAATACTTCAATTGATTGACAAGGGAACAGTTGCTTCATATGAATATTGACAAGAGTATATTTCAAATTATAAGAGATGAGTTAAAAAGTCCATTATAACAGACAAAATTGCAGAAATTCAAATTATCTTTATTCACTATTTATAGTGATGAGAACAGATCTCATACTGCTTTCACTTCTAAATTTATATTATAATGAATTGTAATCTGAATCTTTCTAATTATTATAATACTATTCTATATAAGTAGATCTGAAATATTCTTTTATATCTTTTTCTCTTATGAAGTTCTCAACTGTATGATGCAAAAAAGCTTCAAAATCTTCATCAAATCTCTTCAGAATTGAAGAGATATCTGATATGATCTTTGACATTCTCTAGCAGTTTCAAAACAGTGAAGATTTCATTGAATTCAATATACACAGATGATAATCAATGCTTCACATGATCTCAGCAGATATATAATCATTCTTAAGAAGGTGTACAATCTTGTTGGTGATGAAATCACAGAGTTGAGGTGACATATTGATGATAAAGGTAAGAAAGACATATATTTGGATGATATTTGATTGAAAAAGATGTGTATTGGATGATATTGAATGATTCTAGAGAAATGCGGATATTTTGATTTTTTGGTGGTGTTTTGCTACTAATTTTCAGGGGGGGCTGGGAAAATTCTGTTTTCGCAAGTAATATGTCCGCCACAATAATCCACTGAACACCTGGCCTTTTTCATCTGTACTTTGTAAAAAGCAGCTGTAATATTAGTACAGAGTCTACAGACACTCTACTCACCGAACAGTCATGATATTGGGGCCATACTTTTTAAAAAAAGTGGAGATCTGTACAAAAAGAACGAGTACAACACGGCCGCACCGAACAGGCCCCTATTCTATCAATACTATCAATCTCATTATATCTGTGTCTTGATGCTTTTTATTCTTGATCTCTTTCTTTCATCATTGATCATCAAATCTGATGTTTCTCATCTGTGATGTACATCAGTGATGAGCAGTCTCAACTCATTGAGATGATATATCAATGAAAAAATACCTCTGTATAACAGAAATAATATCTGTCTTACTGCACTGCAGATCATTGCATGTCAGACTCTGATCAGAGTGCAAGATCTGAAAGATCTGATTGATTGCAAGAGTCATATATTCAGACGAAGAAAAAAATCTCTCTGATGATTCAAGGCTTGTGATGTGATCAATGCATGATATGAATATGATTCAAACTGCTTCAGTGCAGGAAAATTCTCAGTTATACTATATTCTCTCTTGATCAGCAGTAAGATACTGAGTTGATAAAGATAAATGTTCACTGAACAAGAGACTTCAATCTCAGTCTTTTGAGGACTAACATTGATCAGAAGAGAAAGAGATGATGTGACAATGTGATGTGATGTCTGAGTTTTCTCATCTTCATTATCTGCACTTTGATGAATTAATGAACTGATCTGCTATTGAAAATTTGTGTTCATGCTATAAGATCATGCATTGGAGCAGCTATGATTGCATGACAATCATCGAGTACCCCCTCAGTCAGTGCTACAATTTAGGAAATAAAAAGTGAGAGAGGTTATGATCTTCCCTTACTTTCTGTGTGGACAGCGGCTGGTGTTGCAAGGTGGTAGGTGGCACTCATTTTCCTACCTTGTTTTACGCTCGCCATCTCACATCGGAATCCTTACAGAATAGCGAGATACTACTAGGTTATATGTCAGACATGATACAGCCACGGCTCTAACTTCGGTCAATCACATGTGCCTAACGGGGCATGATTAAATTGAGGCTGGTATTTGAGCCCGTGGCTACCCTCGCTTCAACCGGAAGCTTTTACTGTCGCAAATTCATGTTACGGCTCTACCAAGGGAGATTGTTGAGATCTCGCCGCGAAAGTCGAAGATGGTGGATCCTTTGAGCATTGCTGCCTCGGTGCTGACTGTTATTACAGCTGCCGTTCAGTCGACGAAGTCGCTATATGAAACCGTCAAACACTTCAAAGAGCGCGACAAAACTTTACGTAGGCTTCAAGATGAGCTCGAGGATCTCGCCAATATTTTGGACTCGTTGACACAAGTGGCCAATGCTGAGATGGCAATGTTGGCGCTTCTTCAAGTTCCTGTTGATCGATGGAGCCAAGTATGCCGCCAGTTTGTCCCCCTCGACCCATTGAAAGAGTCATATCCCCTCCCAAAGTAAACTTCGTTCCCCCCATCCTCACTGGAGGCGTCGAAGCCACTATATAAAGACTTATGGTGGCTGGAGAGAGTTTTGATGACTCGTGCTTGTGTCCCGGGCAATACATCCCATAAAGCTGACATGTTGGATGCTCCATCACTGAAGTTGTACTTACAGTTGAGTTTGAGATTGACTTCCATATCTAGCAGTGTCAAATCTTGTTTCCAAACCCTAATTCTGTATGTGTAGCTGTATACGGCTATAGATCTTATGCTACTACTTGTTTCGAAAAATGATTCATTAAGGTATGTATGTGTGTACAATACATGAATGACAGAGGCTCCTGCAAGATTCGGTGCAAACGATGTAAACATCATCAACCTTTGAATCTAGCAGTCTGTCAACAGGACCTACTCCTCCACATCCTCCATCGACCTCTCTAATTAATAGGCCTCTACCCGTGACTCCTATACTGGCTCACGCCTGTCGGGATATTCCGTCGTACCATTGATCCGCCATCGGCTCGGCTCCTTGGTGTCCATCGAGCCATTGCAAATATTATGAAACTTGGCGAATATATGTTTCCGAGACCTGGAGGAGGTTAATGTGATGGCAGGTGGTTTCAACACCCTTAGGGTATATGATGAATTTACGACTTGGCAGCTGGGTTAACGCATTGACTGTATCTTAATTGCATGTATTTTCTAGCCATTCTTTCCTAGTCAATCAACATCCAGATCTGCGTGTCGAAAATGCCCTTTCGCGCTCTGTGCCCTTGCACCTACGACATGCACACATCACTCAAGGAAGGCTTCAAATCCTTGATCGGGATTATCTTCGTAGGATTGCCAGTGTCGTCGAATAAAGGCTTTCAACTCGTCAAGGAGCCTGGAAGACTGGAAGGAGGAAGAAAGAAGGGGAAGGTTTAATAGCAGTACAACAAGGCAACAAAGTAGCCAGCTATATAGCTACGGCGGACGCTGAAGAAACCCGGCATTTGAGAACATTGCTCCCGAGAACCCCAGCTGGCCAACAACCTGAGCTAACCTACCCCCACCCATTCTCTTAACCGAGCGCGATAGAAGAAAGTGACTCAAAGTTGACACGGAGAAAAGACATGGCCAAGTGTCAACCCCTTGATATATATGAGCTCCCGAGATGTAAATAGGTCCTTGAACATAAGTAGCTTAGCTCGAGCCCTAACTACATAGCCACTAGGCTGAAAAGGGAATAGATTCTCTCTCAAGTTCTCAGCGAACTCCTAATAAGTCTTGTGTCTCTGTTCGTTCGCCCATCGCCATTCTGCTCGAGATTGGCCATTGTATTTGTCTCGCCTTGATGTGTTTGAACGTGGTTGGATTGTTGCGGGCCCGCGCTCGACGTGCCTGCGTTTGTTGGATTGGATCGGATTGGCGACTATGTTTGCACCTTGGAGTAGCTTCTGACGCAACATTCGCGGATTTGCAGCAAGCTGTTGACTTTCCCCCTTCAATAGCGACGTAAAGCTTGAGCCCTGTAGGTTGACGCCTCCAATTTCCTGGGAGAGACTAGTATTTTCCCTAACCGAAACGGAACACTGTTATACACAAGAGGATCTGTGACCTGATCAACAACAGCAGAGTCTAGCTGCACGTCCCGGGACAGCCTAGACTATGACAGGGCGAGTACTCTGAAAGACAAGTATATTCATTTAGCAGAGACAAAAACATTGGATCAGAATTTTCTCCTGGGTATCCAGAATGGTACACCCTACCACATCAATCAAGACCACAAATTGAGAAAATGGCCTGATGAAGAAGGAGACTTGCAAGATGAAAATAACTACATGACAGCACTGACTCTGACATGAGCATATATTCTTTCTAGTGTCTGGGCAGAATCTCAGGATGGTGGAATGATATATACGGATGAGAAGGCGCCAGTCATTTCAATACATAACCATGTGGACAGTGAAAGTCTCACAGTATGCAGAGATGAATCAGCAGCCCTGAGATGGTGAGCAGCAGTTCTTGCTCCTGAGCAAGGTTGGACAGTCTCAATAAGTGTGGACGTGGACAGTGTTGAATATCAATCACCATGATCGTCCACCTTAACAGCAAAGTTGCATTCACTGTTAGAGGACCCTCTATACTCACCAATGCAAAATGCTCTGTGTCATCTCAAGCCTTCACATATCTATCAGACTTTTGCCACCGTCACAACCTTGAGAATCAGGCCAAAGCAGGCCTCGGAGCAGCTCTAACATTCCCATCACCTCTACCAGCTTCAATTCATTTACAGCCAGTTCCAGACAAAACCAACATCTCCCAACCACCAAAGCCAAGTCTTGAAGATTCCTTCTCATTGATGACAAACCTGATGACAATAAGTTCAGCTGTTACCGGGTTGACTGCAACTCTGTGTAGTATCTTCTGTGAACTCTCAATTCCATACAATCTATACAGTGAGTGGCTAGAACCTCTTTTTGCAATATCCTCAGCTCTAACAATACACCATCTTACAGTAATGTGTATACTCCGGAGCCTGTCAATTGGAGGCTGGTGGCTAGCAAGCACAATCACTGGCTTTTACTCAAAGAAGTTCGAAGTGGCACACCTTTTGTGAACTTGCCCTCGTGGTGGTGGACCCAATTGCCCCAGTCTTACATTTGCATCCCATGTCCAGATCCCGTCGATGAAACTAGAGCCTTCATCTCCCACCAGAAAGAGACGACTTTGCTTGTCTGTCCCGAAAGACATGGAACTACATGCCACCTTGGAAGCCTCATGGGAGAGTCATAATAGACGATACTCACATAGTGGTCCAAGAACATTCTCATTGTACGGGACATTACATCTCCTACAAATCATGGTCATGGTTGTGTGCAGATGGTCGTTCTGTCATGGACCTAGGTTATTCGTCCCAACATAGTGTCCCAGCCGCCTATGGTAGGCCATTGTGTTTACGAAGTCAAAAGGCAGTTGGAATAGGAAAAATGTCACAGGATGCTTCAAAAAGCTATTCTCGAATGGTCTTCTAGGGCCTGGGAGCAAGGGATCGCCGCTCACAATCGAATGTTATATCAATCTCTGACAAAGTGGATAGGTATGACTCCGGGAGATATCGATGAAAGTGATGTGGAATCTCATGATCCTGAAGGCAGATCAAACGATATGGGAGGTATTCAAGACTGGTTTGCTAATACGCGCGAGGGATATACTTTAAATGGCAACTCACTTCCAAGCTACGACACGGTGATGACCTCCTGACAAACCATATCATCCAGCCCCCAGTTTTCCTCCATAGCCCCCGGACCACTGTTGTCTCACGCGGTTAAGTCGGTGTAATTACTCCAGCCTGACCCGGCATTCCCATCCCCCGATTGTACCCATGCAGCCATCCAGTAAAGATCGGGGCATTGTTTGCAGATGGTTCTAGCGCCCGGTTCGTCCTGATGAGCTAAAGACTGACACGCTTTCCACTTCTTGCGACATCCTTTCACCGGTCACAACTCATACTTGTGCTCGTTGTTTGGTGGCGGCATCCAGCGACAGTGTACCAACCCGCAGCACCGGAACTATGAGTCATCATACGATAATTGTCAATCGAGCGATTTGGAAACTATTGTCTGTCTCCCAAATTAGACATGCCTGCTGAAAGCGGTTCTTGGTGTAAACTAAAGGATAATTACTCACTGTTCATTGAAACGCTATGCGGTTGTTGAAAAAGTTAATCGGATAACTTGTAGACATGCCCGGCTGAAATTATCAAGAGGCTTGGGGATGGTTCTTCGTCCAGGAATCAGTACACATTCTGCGGGGCAGTTCAGCATGGACGAGGTCCCCCAGAGGCCTTCCCTTGCCCTCTTTTGGCAGCTCGTACTTGCGGCCCCACCCACTATCCCCAATAACTAGTGGGTTTGGTAACCACCACTATGCAAAATATCACCACTGTGCCAATTCTTGCATTTTCCTTCATCATCCATGTGTTTATCATCTATATCAAGATGATTGAAAGATTGAAAGAGATTGAAAAACATATAGAAGCTGTTATAGAATTTCAATGAAAGATTCTCTGATCTCAGATGAACTGTTCTTGCTTATTAATTCAATAATTCTCTAGTTATAGTAGTTATCTCTTAAAGAGTATTTATCTGAGATGAGCTTCTCAACTATTTTTTTTCTCAGTATATCAGCTCTTCTTGATGAGTTTGAAGAGTTTTTATGAGTAAGTTCATCAGAAAAATATGTCATTTGAATAATAGAAAAAAATGAAGAGAGTAACTAGTATAAGAAGACTGAAAAGAAGTAGTGTAAATAAGTGTGTATGAAGACAGCAGAGACAGTATTCACTGAGAGTGAACTAAGAAAATGCTTCAAAGAATCAGAAGATATTGAATTTATACATTGTGAGAAGCAGAGTATCATCATTCTACAACAATACTGAGAATTGATAGTTTATAGATATAACATTGTACTTATTGCTGTCTCTGAGATACGTGAGATGTGTTATTGTTATTGAAATAGAAGCAGCATCCATGGATAGGTTTCGCGTCATGTGGCCAGGAATGGGCTTAAAACAGTGTTGAAAATGGGGATGCTATGAGTGGCCGCAGCCTCCATCTTACAGACTATAGAGGTAGATACATAAACTACAGCATCATAAACACACAGATATCTACAATGGATTCCATTATCTCCCTAATCTCCTCAAGCATAGCCCTCTTCGTCTTCTCAGCCTCCCTCTCCCTCCACCATCACATTCATGTCCGCAAACCTCTATCTTCCTAAAATCAAATAACTACCCCTACGCTCCCCGCCCCCGCTTCCCTGCTATTCTTCATCGTCCTTGTCTGCTCCTTTGAGTCATTCGAGCCATTATCCGGCTTCGGCGTTGAGCGTCTCCTGTATCGCGTTGGCACGTATGTGCGCACCCACGATGAGCAGATGAGGTACATATTCCATCCCTCGAAGATATAAGAGTATATCGATATACTTCTCGTTTTCGCTACGGGAGGGCGCATTGGGTGGCATTTTGATTTTCATCATTTGACAGTGAGATACGGGGCCAGGGAATGATGCAAAATGAGGGTATTGAATATAGATAGATTTCCGAGATATATCTGGTTATTGATAGATGACATGATTGGAATTCGATCTTTGGCTAATCGGACGAAATGGGGTAAATGATAGAGTAAAGTAAGATGCTTCGTGAGAAAAAAAATCCGAGAATCCTTAAATATATGACCTCCCCAAGAAAATTGGTTCGCGGTCGCGATCAAGCGCCCTGTAGTCAGTAGTAAGTAAATGCCCATATATATATACAAAATGAAAAACATCTATACGACTCCCGAAGAAAAAGGAACCTGTCCTGTCTATTCACATGAATACGTGATTATTAAGCTCGCCCTGTTTCCATTCCTCGCATCTGATACCCATCATCACCGTACTCCCCGTTTGGCCCTCGAGCAACTCTACCGCTGAACAAACGCTCTTCCTCATCTCGCGCAACCCTATGAAAGCCTTCTGGTGGTATTTCCGACCTACTGTATGGAGTATCACAGTATACTGACCGCAATGGCGGATAATAGCGTCGGTAGGTGAAGTATGCAACTGATATCCCTAGTAATGAGCCAACCGCCACGTCATACACATCGTGTCGATAGTCTGCTAATCGAGACATGGCGATCAACAGAGCCCCTAATAAAGGGGAAAGGGAGAACAGGAAGCGAGCTAAGCCTGTTCGAGGTTGGAATACATGTAATTGTCCTGCGAAAAACCTACCGTACAAGGCGCGCGTCAGTAATAATGTTCCTTTTTACTGTTCTAAACGAGACCTCATTCTTAAAATGTAAAAACAGGATACTTACATGGCAAGATATCCTAACCCCGCAAAAGCAAAACTGCTATGTCCGCTCGGGAAACTTCTCCATCCCTCATGCAGTCGATGGGACTCCGGCGCTCCGCACACTTCAATGGTAACCATCTTATGTGCCGGCGTGCCTTTTTCCGGGCTGCAGCGCGAGAGCAAATCGGGACGTGGCCTACCCACCGCATTCTTTATTATATCGGTTAGGAAGGAAGTAAGAGCAAGAGTGACGAGGAGCCCAAGCACGGATACATGCGTGAAGTGGGTTTCTGGCCGAATGATCACCGCCCACACGATTATGATGATCAATGGCATCACTCCCGCATAAATAATTGACCATACTGTATTTCGAGACTGTTTTATTAGCCAGCGTATCAGAAACCTACTGTGGGCCACCACCGCCTTAATTGGGGTGGTGGTTCCTGCTGAGCACATGAAATTGTTGAACTCACAAACTGGAACCCGCTCCACCTCCGCAAATGGGAATTGTATAGAAACATTATCCAACGTAAACATGCGGTAAAAGGGTCGTACGAATATTTGGATCTGTTGATACCTTTTCAATTAGTATATATAATAGTAACAATAACTTGTTAGGATCAACAAAAAGGCAGCTAACCAAGATCCATCCCACGACGAGCACGATCAAGCTCACATAGTCCGCGGCATACGACCGGAGCCAGAAGCGCGCCAGGGCACCCAGAACCCCAGGCCGGCTCGCGATAGCCGATAGAGATTTGTTCCTTTGAAGCAGGTCATCTTCTGACATTTCTTTTATCAAGGCGTTCAAACAAGTACTCGTTGGTGGAATGCGAGGTTGTGAATTCTAGAAGAGGATTGCTCCACGACCATAATCTCAGCGAATGGGAGATTCTTCCGGCTCCAAAAGGCAGAAAAATATTCCAATCGGTTAATTGTCTGTCTATTCTTGTCGTACTGCTGCTGTCTGGGATTCTGCATATAGCGAACGTCGCGCGTTCGTAAGTGAGCGCGCGGTCAGAATTACCTATTTGGGGATATTTGCTGCCTTGGCTCGTTTGGCGTTGGAGTTCATAAATACGATATTTAACTAGTTATTTAACTATAATAACTAACTACTGTATTTAACGGATGGTAATAATAATCGCTAGCAAGCTAAATACATAGATTCAACTCAGTATCAGAAATACTTTAAATAAAATCATTTAAATATGTATGGATATTTCCCACTTGAGGAGAAATATTTACTTTTCTTTTCGGTCTATGGGGAGATCGATCCTCATCTATTTATATCACCACCCGCTTGTAATGACGCCGCCAGCCTTCTCGACACCAAGCAACCACCCAACACCCGCAAAAATAGACAGAACCTTGCGGCAGACTTCAGACATCCATGCATGCATTACATTAAGCTTCTCTTTGGTATGACTCTCCTCTAGAGCGCTTCTCGAATGTTGTATGTACATGGTGTGAAAAAGTAGACATTCGGTTTTTATATCCACTGGCTTCTCATTGTTACCTGTACCAGCTAGTAGACTGACTTTCAACACACAAATATAAGGTCAGTCACCTCAGTTGTGTCTGCCTCCTCATTGTGCGATCGGGCAGGCTCACAATCAAGTTAGCCCTGTCTGAAATAATTTTGGCCCCCGCACCGGCTCGGACGCTACATGAGGCGGTCGAAGAAGTCCCACCTCACCTAGTCTCAGCCTCGTCTGAAGGGCTACGCTGTATGTTGACCTGATTGTCCCCTGCTTCGGGCAGGCGGGCAGGCGGGCATCAAGCCCCCAAGGGCCCGTCGGGACCTTGCTGCCCCTCCATTTGCACTATGCATTTCCCCTCCAAATGGCCTCTGTTCCGTCGTGGCAGACATGTTCGGCTGCAAAAAATGCTACATTATCACTTCACAATATAACACAACATGACGATTACCTACGCGGAACAAGCCTACCGAGAGGCTTTGAAAACCTTCGAGGAGAACCTGAACTCGCAGCAACTGCGTGATGTGCAACGTCCCACCTCGCTGACCGAACTATGCAAGACTGCGGCGTCGATCAACGCAAAACATGCCTCAAATGATGACCGCAAGACGATACGCTTCACTCAGCGTGTCAGTAAGGTGCTTGGTGTGCTTCAACCCTTCGATGGCATTTTGAGCAGTGTCGCTGGCGCGGAACCGTTCGGTGGTGCAAATTTGATATGGAGCTCTATCCGCTTTACTTTCCAGCTCGTTGAGGATGCGCAGAGTATTTTCGACAGTGTATTTGGGTTCTTCGAAGACATCGCGCTCGAGCTAGAAATTATTCAAAAGGAGATTAATACATTCAAGGACTCACAGTTAGTGTCCAGCGTCGGGCAGCAAGTATTTGCGGCGTTGCTGGACTTTTGGGTCTATGCGGTTAAAACGTATAGAAATTTACGGTTTGGGTCATTCTCTATCAAGTCGTATTCTATCAAAAGCAAATTTGAACAGTTGCAGAGCAAGCTGCAGGAGCAAACTGTGCTGTTGAAGAGTGCAGCGCAGGCACAGCACCATGAAAATTCAAGCCAGTTCTGGAATGCATTTCAGCAGTCGCATCGGGGTAACTCCCTTTTCCCTTTCCTTCATATATCCTTACTCTATGCATGGACATGCTAATATGTATACAATTCTATAGAAAATTCTGACCAGCGCGTGTTTGATTGGCTTAAAGCCCCGGACTATGCTACTGATTTGAAGAAGGCAAACTCGAGACGACATGATGGCACCTGTGTATGGGTTATGACCAGACCTGAATACAAATTATGGTCGGCTTCTTCCTCCGACACGCGGTTCCTAGTGATTTATGGCATTCCCGGGGCGGGTAAGACAATCTTGAGCTCATTCCTGGTTGAATGGGCCAGGCGAACTTTCCGGAGCGGTACGGATCACAGGAAACCTTGCCTGACACTCTACCATTTCTTCAAGGCGGATGACGAGACCAAAAATACGCCCTTGGCCGCTCTGAGATCTCTCCTCGAACAACTCTATAGCTTTGTGCTGGAGAATAATATTGAAAACCTGCGAACGACATTGCAGAACACCGCCCGTAAACGCCAAGTTGATTACGAGGAGATGTTGGCTGTATTTGCTAGCTCGATCCAACATTCTGGCTGCACATTTACTATCGTCCTCGACGCCCTTGATGAGTGTAGAGGTGTCAAGTCACTCTGCAAGGACCTGAAGGCACTAGTTTCACATCCAGACATACATGTCGTTGCGACCAGTCGGAGGACTGGCGAGCACGTGGATGTCATCAGTGGACCAAAGACGATGACTATCCTCATGACGGAAGATGATGTGAGACGAGACATTGCCTCTTTTGTTCGGTACAAGGTGAACAAAATGCCAAATCTACAATCCCCAGCTCACCGCCGTCTCAAAGGCCTAGTCATCGATGAGCTGTCCAAGAAAGAAAACCACAAGGGCATGTTCCTCTGGGCATACCTGATGTGCAAAGATATTAAAATGCAAGGTAGCGTGGCTAAAATCCGTCAAGCCCTTCTACGACTACCGAGCGATATGGTAGCGCTCTACCTGAAGATATTGGAGGGCTTGAACGAGAAGCCTGTTGCGGAACAGGACTTTGTACAACGGGTGTTTCAGTGGGTAGTGGGAAGTATTCGACCTTTGCGCTGGTGTGAACTAGATCAGGCACTGCAGATCGATCAGTTCCGAGCTGCCACTTTCGAGGACGACGATGACTATGATGAGGCCTATATTTATTCCCGTAGAGATGTGGTAAAGGCATGTGGCTCGCTGGTGCAATATTCAGGGTTGGACGATGGAGACACTATTCGCTTAATACATCTGTCGGCAAGGGAATTTTTGCAGCGTCAAATAGCGCAGTCCATTCCTATCCCGCCCAATCTCACGAAGTACTTCGTCGAAGTGACCACTTCTAATGCAGTTTTAGCAACAGCATGCCTAAATGTTCTGCATGCGCCCTCTGTACAGAACGATACCTATTTCCGAACTCCCAAATCTCACGATATTAGAACGGAACTTATGAATATGTGTCCCCTCTTTGAATACGCAGTATTATACTGGCCGGAATTTGCGTGTGCATTTGCTGAGGCTGTAATTGCCGGGGAAAATGATTTCAAACAACCAGAAGATCTTTTTGAACTCTTAGCTCTCATCCTCGATGGGCCTTGGAGCCTTTGCTGGCTCGAGGAATATATTCGTCTTGGTGGTATCGATATTGCAATGTACACGGTGGAGAGGATCCAAAACCTCGACGAAAGTATCTCTCGCAAAGGGTGCTCATCCTCATTCACCCCACAACAGTGGGCTGCGCATGTTGTACATGCCTTACACACTTTTTCAGAGACTATTTCCCATTCCCCTGAATGCATCCATACCTGCGTAGAGGCACCCGGACGCCATGTCTCTCTAGCAACCGGCCGCAAACCCCAGCACCTAATTACTCTAGGTACTTCGACCAGGGATCTACCAAAGAAGCAACCACTCCCGAAGGGTGAGCGTGGGTGGATCGGATATAATCACAAGTCCAGATCAGTATTCCTAGCTGAGAAAGAGCATGAGACCATTCGTGTGAGTCGCCGCCATCTCGATGGAGCTACTGCTTATCGACCAGCCCTAGAAAATGGAGAAGAGAGCTATCAGGGTACCTGGAAGGTTCGCTCTGCTCAACTGAAACAAGATGCGACATTCCTCGCGGTGACGTTTTGTCCGCATGCGCAGGAGGAGCTTTTCTACCGCACAGTGTGCTGGAGCTTGTCTAGCCCAAAGCAAGTCTCCGTCACCGCCGATTGGGCCCAGGTTATTATTGTTGACCGCTGCGAATCCGAAATATTTTGCGCTGGTCCTGTGCTCGGACGGGGAAGCCTCGTTGCATTCGGTGAAAATAACTTGTTAATTACCCCAGGCGGAATTTGGGATTTGGCATCGGAGGATAGGCTGTCTTCACCCAAGGAGATCTGGAACCCGGAAAATCCAGAATTGATATCGCAGACTTGCTTCAGTTCGACTCGAGCAGCAAGGGTCCGCGATCGTCGATGCCTGGATATCCTGGAGATATTCGGCTCTGAGAAGTGGAATGCTGGTGATCTTACGGCGACCTTCCAATTCTCCATTGAAGAACGTATCGCAGAGAGCTGGGCCAGAATCCGAATCCGTTCTTTCAGCCGCTCGGGAGCCAAACTACTGCTGACGTTCTACGAGAATAAAGAGCCAAATTCAGATCCTGACTCCCGCCAGGAGTTGCAACCGAAAATTGTTTGCATCATTTTGGACGGCAAAGGCCCAACGACGGGTACGCAGGTTGATTTCCCTATTCATTCTGGCACTGCACTGTTGGAATGTCAGTTCACAGACGACGAAGAAAGGATTGTGGGTAGGCTGCAGCCACCCGATGACGACATAAATGCTGGCGGAGGAATCTCCATTGTTGTGTGGGGCTTACAGAAGAAGGGGGCCAAATACGACGAATCTGTGCAATATCTCTTCCTTTGGAAGTCTTTTGGGGATGTCTCCTTTACGATAACGCCGCCGATCTCAGCAGAGCCCAAGGGTGGGATACTGATTGCCTTTTCAGATGGCAGCGTAGCGCGCCGCTCAGTCTCGGATATCTGGTCGTCAGCGGAGGAAGCCAAGTTGCGCACCTCCCGGCATGCGCTGGAGGCTAGAGGAAAGGTGTTGAATTACATCACTCCTGACGGAGCTAACCTTTTTGCCATATTCTTAACTGGTTTCCTGTTCGTTCTCGTTCCCTTCCCTTCCTCTGTAATCTTGTAATGTCTCCGCTAACACTTATGTCAAATAGAGGATCTACCCCAGCCTTGACGGTTGAAGTTTGGAGCTTAACTGAAGAGCAACAGCTATCATGTCCCGTCGTCAATCGTCAACTCGAACCCGGTTTAGAAAATAACTCGCTCGATTCAAACGGCCGCTTTTTGCTCGGAAAGTCCGAGATTTTCGACCTCAGCGACCCGGCATCCCCACAGCCCCTCCTCTTCCAACTATCCAACGGTGGCGATGCTAAGGTCGCATTTTGCCCCAACCAGCCTATCTTCGCATACACGCATGCAGAAGATGGTGGCGTCATATTGCGGCTTTATGAGGGGAAGGCGGACAGAAGCTGCCAGCTTCTCCTTACTCATCGCATCGTGTCTGAACATGGGCTGGATCCGCAGGACATCAAAGTTGCTTTTGATAGTAGTCATTCTCCCCCACGTGTGTTTGCTTATTCCTACTGGACAGTGATTGGCCAAAATATGACATTTGTCGTGACTATCGAAGAAGACGGTGATGTGAATCCCGAGTTAATTTCAGAAGGTAAACAATTCCACCCATACTAACCACATGTATTTCCCATTTCCCCACCAAATATATACCTCTGCTGCCTATGTGCTAACCTTCTGAGTCTTGATACAGAATACATGGCCGACCTCACCTTCTCTGTGGACGGAAAATACATATTCAGCGTTGACCGACAAGTGCCTCCCGAGGATCTTCAATGGCCCACCCCTGTCCCCATTTCCCCCCTCCCTACAACACCACCCACTGCTAGGCTAAGTGAGCTCTCCCTCTCCCTCTCCCTCTCTATCCTCGACACACATCCCGTCACCTTAGAGCGCGACTACTGCTTCATGGACCCGGCCCTGATCTACCGCATATCCCAAGAAGAGCGACTGGGCACTGTGTATCTCGACGTCAAACGCATTCACGAACCCGCTACCACGACAAACTATTTCCGCAAGGCCTTGGGTATCGTCCCAGACGACTACTTGAATCGCTTGCTTGATAAGGTATTCCTAGTGTGGCCAAGGGATAGTGCGGAAGAAGTAAAAATGGTGGTCGTGCCGGGAGGGAGGAATGGGATGCCGATGATTATTCGGTCGGGGATGAGTAGTGGTGAGTTGGTCGGCATGGTGGAGAAAACGATGCGGTAGGGTAGTCATGGAGTATGAAAGTGTTTTCATTCCTAGCATTGGTGGGGAGGGCCCTTGGAGGAGCAGCCGGCTGCCGAGGAGACTATTGCGTGCGGGTTGCTTAGATCATACATCATTTAAAACTGGCTTGACCTGCGTAGTAGAATTCTTTAATCGATTTACTTTCAATGGCATAGTATGATCTCCTGATTTATTTCGCAAAATCGAAATCATTACTTTGACATTCAGTTCTCGTGGCGGGTGTATCTAGCTCTGGGCCCCAGAGGCCAGAAGCTTGGATCCGAAAAACGGCTAGCCCGATCTAGCGCGCAAGCTCCACTAACTACATAAACGCGACAATCAGAATTGAAAATTGAAGCAACGTACAGGACTCCGAACTCCAAGAAAGATCTAGCCGTACTCTTCTTTGGCCTCCATTGGATACTCCGAGTTTCTTCTGCCAGCTTCAACACATATAGGGAATTAGAATCTCACATTTACAATATGGCGGAAGCCGACCAACAAAAAGTGACCGCCGCATTCCCGCCTCCGCCACCATTCTGGAAGCATTTCACATCGCAGAATCTGAAGAAGCTGGATGACTGCAAGAAAGAACACGAGAAAAATCTTGGTCCGAAGCAGACTTGGACACCTGAAGCTCTTCGCACGCTTGAACTGCCACCGGAGCTACGATTTCTTGTCCCGCCCCAAGCCCCAACATCAGGTTCATACTCGATATTCGGCGAGTCGCAATCGGTATATATACTCTCTATACATACCTATTCTAGCCTCAGGTTTTCTGTCATAATCTAGTTATTGGAACTAAATTTGTGCGTTAATTGTGCCTTATATAGGTCTCAATAAATCTTCCCTCATTACAAGATCAAGGCATCGAGCAACTCTATCCCTCCCCGCCCGCAGGCCAAGAACATGCTTTACCTGCCAACCACCGATTCTATCTTCTAAAAATCAGCAAATCCCTCCTTCTCAACTTCCTTGAGTTTATCGGTATACTCGCACTCTGTCCAGAGCGATTCGAGTCCAAAGTACAAGACATACGAAACCTGTTTATCAATGCGCACCACCTGTTGAACTTGTATCGGCCCCATCAGGCACGAGAGTCCTTGATAATGATGATGGAGGAGCAACTGGAGAAAACCAAAGAAGAAATCAGCGAAATGGACAGGGTTAAGGAGAAGGTCCAGGGCTTTCTTGAGCAGCTGGAGGCTGAGGGTACGAATATTGGCAGGACTGGCCCTGTGGATTCCGACATGTTTCTTAAGAAGCGCGAAATTACAGCCGAGGAGGAGGTCATAGAAGAGGCTAGGTCTATGTGGAATTTACTTGACAAAATCGATGAAGATTGAGAAACAATTCATGAAGATATATGAGAAATATATGACGATCGGCTAAGCCCGAGCGCATCAAGAACCAGGGCCGCGCTCAATCCCCGCAGCGAATAAAGCCATTTTGGCACCCGCTCTACAGGAACTGCTGGAACATTGCTGCACCGGATTCCGTGGGGTTTGCGCGGGTATTTGGATTACTGGCACACGTACGGCCTCGAGTTTATGCGATCCAATGGTGTATGCGCTGACAAGCTCGAAATTATGGGTCCATGCATAGTGCTCTGATTAGAAGTCTACTAATACGTTTGACTTTCTCTCAGTTTCAGAGTTTTTATTTTCCTTTTTTGATCCTGCTAGCTGCGGTATACTCTGAGCTACAAAGTATGATGTTTGGAACGCAAATTAATGTGGTGTGGGTGACGGGGATCAGTTATTGAGGCAACCAGTTTCAGTTTCTGCGCTCCGGTAAATTTTTATCTTTGATGGTTCGTAGACAACTCCAGTATGAAACAGCAATTGGATAATGGGTGTCCTCATAATTCTTAGTTACTGATGTGTATATATAGTAATATTCCTCAGGATCTCCCGAATAAAGCAGTTAACTGTGTTTCCCTTTATTTCTAACTGCGTATCGTCTGTGAGGGCTTTTTGCTTACAGTCGCCGAACCTAGGCCGGCCCCGTAGTAAATTCCTCGCTACCAGCCGGGGAGATCCGGCTTGGCTATCCGGAAGTTCGGGGTTACCTTAGGGGGCTTAGTGCCTTAACATTTGATTGACCAGTTAGGTGCAAGCCCTGTATTTTAATAGGGACAAAGGCCCTGCAATTGGGTTCGGTATTGTTCGGGCTCCGGTATTAGTACTGAATTTCCACTTAGCTCCAACCCCGTATGCGCGGCCAACCCCGTATGCGCGGCCAACCCCGTATGCGCGGCCAGACCCACCCAAAGATCCATAAATATCAAGCTCACGGACCTAGAAACTCCTTTTTTTTACCATCAGAAAGACCTCTGCGTGTACGTTTTATCAAAAAAGGTTCTACAAGGAGAAAGTGTAGGGTCGACATCGCCGGTTGTTGGAAGCTGAGGGAGGTATGTCTAGCGGCTATTTACCAGTCGACGGTGACAACTTCGACAAAGGCACAGTTCAGGGAGGTCACCACCACGATAAAGAGGACAGCGACGACGAGGAAGGGGAAGGGCTGAGCGATAATGACAATGAAGACTCCTTCTATAGGAGAGATAGCATCCGGTTCGATCGGGATTCCTACGGGTTAGGTTCTCGAATCGCAGACTTCACTATCGATGGCGGAGACCACCTCGATCATGGGAAGACGGTACGCGGATTATTACCAATCTATATTTACTTTAAATCATTCATTTAAGCTCATGATATATTTGCGATTAGGAACTCACTGGCTGGGCGTCGATGTGGTTCGTATCTCTCTCTCCTCCGCTTCCTTGATCTACAGTACCTCTGGACGACCGTAACAACCATATCTAATCTCCCTGATACGAAAGGCTGGCATATCAGTCGATAGGTGCAATTTACGGTGACATTGGCACCAGCCCGCTCTATGTTTTCTCCTCGACGTTTCCAACAGCCCCGCTGCTCGATGACCTCCTCGGAGTATTATCCCTCATAGTCTGGGCACTGATACTGATTGCGACGATTAAATATGTCGGGATCGTTCTCTGTGCGAACGATAAGGGTGAAGGGGGCTCTTTTGCCCTCTTCTCACTCATACGACGTTATGTTAGTTCTTAGATTCGGAACATGGTCCTCAGAGTAAGGAAATCGGGATGTCAGGCTAACGTGTATATATACATTGTATATATACATTGTAAGCGTAGGTCGATATTGATAACCAGAACCGGGATGCATCAGACTTCACTGTAAATGGCGACGAGAAACCGCTACGCCCGTTTAATCTAAAAGCTATGAAGGTGTTGAAGAGGAGCTCTGGCGCAAAGAAGGTCGTTAAAATTCTCGCCGTGCTTGGTGTTTGCATGGTGATATCAGGTACCCACTCGATAATTTGGGATACCTACAATTGCGTTCCGTTTTGCTGATGGATATTCATTTAGACGGCGTTTTGACTCCTGCACAATCCATCCTTGGAGCTGTACAAGGTATGATGATATATGCAAAATCCACTCGATATCATGTTCCGGACACATTGGCTGATTTTTTGGTGAAGGGATCCAAATTGCAGCTCCCAGTACTGCAACCCATACTGTGGTAGCCATTGCCTGTATCCTGATCGTTATCCTCTTCGCTTTACAGCCGTTCGGCACGTCTAAACTGAGTAGTTTCTTTGCACCCATTGTTATCGTATGGTTAACGTTCAATGTTATCTCAGGTGTCTATGTATGTTTCCACCTTCTGCTGCTGGATTTATCCGAATGCTGACAACCAAATAAAAAAGAACCTGCTCGCCTACGATTCCTCCGTCCTACGCGCTTTTTCTCCATGGCTGGGACTTAATTACCTCTTCCGGAGAAAACTGGAAGGGTGGAAGTCGCTTGGAGGCGTCCTTCTTTGCTTCACTGGTAAATTTAACCGCGCTCAGTCACTAGGTGGTAAATAGCATCAGTTAACAGTGAGGCAGGCGTCGAAGCTCTATTTGCCGACCTAGGCGCATTTTCAGTCAAGCAAGTTCCGATCTGATTCTGGAGGCAACATTCATTTTTACATACACTAGTGCTAAACGAAAATTTTTCTCCAACCAGGGCAATACGGGTCTCGTGGCTCTGTTTTGCATTTCCCTGCTTGCTCCTCACATACTGCGGTCAAGCGGCCTTCATCAGCACCCACCCAGACGCGATCGCGAACCCACTATTCAAATCAGCGCCCCCAGGAATGTACTGGCCTCTCTTTTTCCTCTCGATCCTGACTTCGATTGTTGCGTCACAAGCCATGCTTACGGGGACGTTTCAGCTAATGTCCCAGGCCATTCGCATGGGATATCTGCCCAAAATCCGGGCTGTACACACCTCGAAGCGAATTCCCAGCCAGATTTATATCCCCTGGGCGAACTGGTTGATGATGCTTGCTGCGCTCGTCGTCACTGGAGTTTTTAAAACGGTGAACCTCAGCACCCCAACGGCTTTGATTTCGGCGATTTGCTAACTTCTCAATAGACAACGAAACTAGGCAATGCCTACGGAACATGTGTCGTTGGGGTTGGCTTTATTACCACCTGGCTCGTCGCCTTGGTATCGACCATTATCTGGAATGTCCACGTCCTGATCGTCATGCCCATATTTTTCTTCTTCTTGTGCATCGATGCCTTGTTCGTTTCATCTGCGCTGTACAAGGTTCCATCTGGTGGCTGGTTCACTATTGCAATGGCTGCAATTCTCTCGAGCACCTTGCTCACCTGGAATTATGGTGAAGAATGCCAGCTGGAAGCGGATAGGGATGACTCCTCGCTATCAAGAGCAAGGGTATTTGCAGATACCAGCGGGACGCTGTTTATACGCGAGGGAGCCAGACATCTAGAAGTGAAGAAAATCAGAGGTATTACCCTATCATATCCACTGTGGCTGGCCTAACCCATCTAACCATGACCCCTCGTTATTATTAGGAATCGGAATATTCCTCGTTGAAACTGACTTGAATTCTCCTCCGGTTTTTGATCATTTCCTGAGGAAATTTGAGGCTTCTCATGAAATAACAGTTCTATTACATATCAACCGTATCCCTAAATATCATGTATGACCCACTTACCAGATGCTCAAAGAATTTTGTGTAATATGGGGAACAAGCTAAAAAATAAAAACAACGTAGGTTGTCCCCAAAAACCGGTTTCGAAGCTCCGCAACCGCCATCCGCGGAGTATACCGCGTCACCCTCCGCCTCGGATACGGCGATACCATTAACTGGAACGTCTTCGAGCAATTATTGATAGATGAGCTGGAAACCCTGATATCCAGCGACGGCACCAGCCCACCTACCGACCCCCAACGCGACCTTGACTTTCATCATCAAGACAAAATACCATCACCACATTCCATCCAGCTCCCCGCACCCTCCTCATCCGACGAAGGCATTCCCATGTCAGCAATTCACGCCAAAACAAGGCACGAGCTGCTCCCGCCCCCGGATCTGAATGCCATAACCCAAAAGCCCATCACATATATCATCGGCAGAGACAAGCTGTTTATCAAGGAGGAGTCGAACTTTGTGCGCCGGGCGATGCTCACGGTATTTGTGGCTGTGAAGAATCAGCAGCGGACGAAGCTATCGCAGCTCAAAGTGCCGGTTGACCGGTTGGTGGAGATTGGGTTCTCGAAGGCAGTGTAGGTTTTACAGAGTTAACCCAGTGGCTGCGGCTGTATATAGGATGGAGGACCATTACCTTGGTCGCCGAGTTCCTTTTCTTTCTTTTTGTTGGTGCATTTCTTTGTTCCTTTTTGATATATATATTTTTTTTGCTTTTTCTTTTTGGATCTATATAGTCTTATGGCCTTAGAATTCCCGCGTTTTAATATATGTTTTATTTATTTACAAGAAGTGGAAAAGTATATAGATTTATATCACCTTAAGTCTAATCTCGCCCCTTTTTTGCACCTGGCTACTCGAGCAATCGCCAAACGAGAAGTTTCCTTCAACCGTGCCAAGCTCCTAACCGCAACATGACATGTCCAACGCTCAACTCATTTATTATTATCAAAACTAATAATTCAACAACTATAACTACTCCGTACTTCCCCGAATCGGCGATAATAGAGCGCCGCTCACAGGTCGCCATATGTAGCGCACATGCATCCAAAATCACGAGTCCACGCAAGCCACAAGGCAGCATAGAAATCCAACCGACCAACCCATTCATCCTTAAGCATCTGCCTCGTACCGAGCTACAGCCTGGCAGGCATTCTCGCAATTCAAACGGTCCCAACCATAAAAAAATAAAAAAAATAACAAATAAAACATAACATAACCATGCAACGCCTTCGTTAACATGTCCTGGGCCGAGGCATGTTACAGCCGCAACGCGGAACCAACCCCGTTATTGAGAGAAACTCTAATTACTATGATTAACTAATTATTAGTTACATCCCCCGCACAATTTTCCCGCTCGGACCGGACTGGACCCTTTATGTCTTCTATCTTCTACCCCCCCCGGAGAAATTGGGAAGCGGTGCACGATAAAATAATGCATTTGCATAGCTAATGGCAACTGGGATTGGGGGATTGGGGGAGGGGAGGGGAGGGGAGGGGGGTGGTCTTGTCAAGGGAAAGGTTCCATCGTCTTTCTTTTTTGATTGATTGATTGATTGATTGATTGATTGACTGATTATTGATTATTGATTGAATCGGATAATGCTCATCAGCTTAAATAGTTCAATGACTTGAACGGAGAATGTATCTAAATATCTAATATTATATATATGCACGTACCACAGCGAAAAGGCAAGAGAAATAAATATAAAAGCAAGAAAGAAGACTGGGTAGATAGATAGATAGTATGCGGTTCTATAGGACTCCGACTCCCCAACAGATCGGATAAAAGAGAAAAAGAGCGTAGGGGTAAATTTGGGGATGGAGTATAAAGACTAGAAAAAGAGAGGAGAGGAGAGAAGGCAAAAGATATAGCTAACTAACTATGTATCAGAAGAACATTCGATAGGAACGAAACTGTAGATGAGGATGGCTTTCATGGTTTGAATTCTTTCTTTTGTTTTCTTTCTTCTTCTTCTTTTCGCCTTCGTTTCTTTCCTTCTTTCTTGTCTGTATGTCATTTATTCTTCCTTCTTCAACTCAACCCCGTCTCCCTCCTCCCTACATGCCAATGCACTTCAGAAAGAGAAAAGCGGAACAAAAGAAAGAAGCTCTCTAAAAGGAAAAGTACATGCACTCATTTATAATTTTCTCCCCCTCTTAGGAAAAAAGAAAAAAAAAAGATATGATAAAAATCAAAAAAAAAAAAATAATATCTGAAAACAAAACACTAAATAAAAACGATCGCGCGCACGCAAAATATATGTTGAGAAGTAAAAACCCCCAGCAAAAAACAGTGAATCAATAAATCAACACACACACTCACACACTCAACACACACACATACACTCATACAAAGAAAAAAAAAAAAAAAAAGAAGAAACCCGAAAACCAACTCAACAAACTCAAATCAAATTAAATTATATCAATATGAAAATCTATGCCTTAATAGTCCCGTTCTCTAGCAGGTATTGATAGGTGCCGTATCCAATGGCGCCCAGGAGGATCAGGATGGCGTACAGACCGACACCGAGGCCGCTGCTGGCTTGGGTGCCGCTGGTGGAGGAGGAGGCGGGGGGGTATTGGGCTTTTGGGGCTGGGTCGCCGGGCTGTTTGTTGTTGGGAGGGTATGGGTTAGTCTTGATGGTTTTTGGGATCTGGATCTGGATCTGGGCCGGGCGTGGGGAAGGGGACGGGTATGTGTGCGGCGGGAATGATGTGATTTTTTTTTTCTCCCGTCGTCGGGTATTTGTCATGGTTTTGTGTTTTTGTCTTTGAAAATTTTGCGGAAAAGACGACGAGGGTTGCGAGAAGGAAGAGAAGGAAGCAGAGGAGAGAAATGGGAGAAGAAATAAAAAAGAGACACGCACTATTCTCTTCAGTTTCCCGATGAGGAGGCCCTCGAGGATTTCACGGGCCTCGTCGCTGTGGCCAACGTCTTCGAAGGCTTCGGTGGCATCTTGGCCGCCGACGTCGAGGAGGACTTCTTCGCCGCCTCTATGTGTTTGGTGGGGAATTGGTTAGTTTAGTTCTGTGATGTAAATGTAGGAATACAGGTAAGGAGAAGGATAGAGATATCAAAGAACGAGGTTGATCGAGTGAGGACCGAGCTGGCCACGGAGTTTTGCGGTGTGCATGCCACAAAACCTGGTCCAATTGAATCCAATCCACAATCCAACGGGGGGAGATGGGGAAGAGGGGAAGAGACAGGAAGTAACGGGGAAGGAAACCAGGACGTACGGATGCTCATCGACGAAACTGGAGACGTTGTAGATTTTGTCATGGATGGTGACATAGAGGTCCTTCTTGGTGTTGTGCTCGGCGAGCTCGGTGAAGGTCAATTCCTTGGTGTCAGACATGGCGGGCGATTGGAGGTGGAGGTGTATACGTTGGTCAATGGGAGCGAGGGGGGCGACGGCGAGAGGAGGTTTGAAGTTGAGAGGATGAAGTTGAAGAGAAGATAGATGGTTGGTTGGTTGGTGATAAATATTTATTTAGGCGGTGCGGTGGAAGTATAAGAAGAGAGAGAGGGTCAACCTGTCAGCCGCAGCAGAAAAAAAGTAAAAGGATAAATATTTAAGTTAATAATAAATAGGGCAACTTAAATCGAGATGATGAATAAGAATAATAATAGAACAATGAAATAATAATAATAACTAACTTAATCCACGATAATTTGAAATAATAATAATAATCAAATAATACTTTTATACACATTTGTATTAGGATTCTGCGCTACCCTTCAGGTTATTTACAATTACTCCGTACAGGGGAAACCAAGGCTATTCGAATAAGACCGAATAGACCTCGATCCAACCGAGCAGCGCGCGGGCGAATAGCAGCGCGCGCATTGGCATTCATCCAGCTGCGATTCTCTGATAGTTAATTATCCCTCAACAGTTTCTATACACATCCCTTGGGGAGATGAAAGCCAAAGCCAGGTGAGTACAGCGATTCTACCGCAGAAGATGTCAACTCCTCCTAATAATAAAGATAATACTTAACTGCAACACTGCACCGAAATAGCTGCTTAAATATTCTTCCCATTGCTATTGCTAGGACAATAAATAGCTGGAGCTACAGATGTTGCCGGTTGAACAGCGAAATCCCCATGTGAAATCCACGCGGGACATCCAGAAGAGCTCACAGTGCAGGCGGATCTCCCTCTCTACCGTCATCTGGCTCAGAGCGCATTCATCCTTGGAACCTTTGCATGCTGTTTCTTTGTTCCAATCCAATGCTCTGATATCATTGAGCTGGAATCAGCCAATTAGGCAGTGCTGATTTGTTTTGCCATTCTAGGGAAGTTTCCCCGAGTTGACGTGATTGTGACACACACTGTATATATTATTATTATTATTATTCCAGCGTCAGCAGATATAATGAGAGAAAAAGAGGATGCCATATCACTTGTCAGTATATATATATATGTATATGTATTGACATACAGACCGTGCTGGGTGGAATATTTGCTTGTTGATTCATTTGTGTTTGGTAACTAGTTGAAGGCGAAGAAGAAGAGATGTTAGCAATCAGAAAAGTCAAAACAAAACTGGGTACGGAGTACAGTACATAATGATCAGTGAGTGTTATTATTATAATTAACATAACTACAGAACTTACTGATACCATCCATTAAGACATCAGCTCTATATGATATGATATATCTAGTGGTGATAACCTGTTCTGTTCTTGTTCTGTTGTTGCTGTGCTTCTCTCAAACTGACCAAACTGACCAAACTGACCAAACTGACCAAACTGACTTGGCCGAACGACATCATCGCGGTCTCGCCGAACTCTGTCCATCTATTCCCTCGTTCCCAACACCAACACCACCAGCTCCCCTTTCTTTCTATCTTGCAATTAATAGAAATAAACGTGAGAAGGAAGATACATGCATCAAATCCTCTTGGAAAAAACCAGTTCCCTCGCTACCTAAACAACCCCATCACCTTCCTCTATAAACCATCCCTCCTTACCCCTCCCCCTCGTGTGCTGCATCCCGCAAAACACACCACACCACACATATATACAAACATCCCGCTTACATCTCCGCTCTTCCCCCCTCCCCTCCTAATCCTCCCCTTCTTACCCCCTCTAACCCCCTTTTATCTCCTCACCGACCATGTCCCGCAGCCGCGTCAAAAATATTGCCTACGACGACGATGACTTCGGCAGCGCCTCCCACGACAACGGTGCCGACTACGATAACGACGACGACGACAACAACAACAACAACAACAATCATGGCGGTAACGACATGACCCCCGAAGACCGCGAGCAGATGCAGCTGGGTACGATACAGGTACGCGAGCAGCTAGATGCAGATTCCCCGCTCGTCCCGGCCTCCGACGCGGAGATCTGGGAGGCGCTCTGGTATTATTATTATGATGTTGAGAAGGCCGTGGGGTGGTTGCGGAGTATGTTGAGTTTTCTTTTCTTTCTTTTCTATTTCTTTTCTATTTCTCCTTTGGCTAATTGGAGGTTGGTTCTCCTGGGTGAATAGAGAAATATGCGCCCAAGACGCCGAAGAAAGAGAAACCCCAGGCGAAGGTTAAGGGTGAGTGGATTTCTCCTTTTTAATATCTTTGCTGCATTCCTATCATTTTGGTGAGAGGATAGGTGGGGGGACGTCCATCTCATATATATGGCGGCTGGGTCGGTCATGGATGGGTTAGAAATTACGATGCGGATATGAACATCCAATTCAAAAGTACGTTCCTCAATTCCTAGGTTCGGTCTAGTTTTAATATTTTGTTTCCGCTCCAAACCAACTGATCCACGGCAGCAAATAGTTTTCTTCCTTTATTGACTTTTGGCCAAATTGGAAATATAAAGAGAAAGAAAAAGAAAGAAACACAGTTCCCGTATCTAATTCGCACCTCACCTCCAGGAACCGCTCCATCATTATCTCCATATCCCATCACATCGTGTCCAGAATCCTTCTCCGCAGCCGACTTCTTCAAGGACTCGCCATGGCTGGACATCCCCGCACACCGCAAAGCTGATATCCTTGTTGAACATCTCTATCCCCGCCTGGGCCTGCTCGGCGGTGCACAAGAGACATCGGGGAAGGTGTCGAAACTTGCCGCACTAGCTGCGCGCAAGAGGAAGGATAACGAGAAGAAGGCTGCGGCGGCAGCTGACAGTGAAGCATCCTCAATGGTATCGGATGACCAGCGAAAGTCCCCTATCTCGCTACTAGATAGGCTAGCGGTCGGTGGGAAATCGCAGGGCACCTTGTCGGCCCGGACGGCCCGTTTACCGTTGCGGAGTGGAAAGGGGGCTTTGAACAGGTCGCCCAAGCAGCCGCTCCCCACTAGCCCTGATCTTCCTGGCATGTTGGAATCTGCCACGCCACCTGACGCGCTCCCAAATGGGAAGAGGAAGGCCGCACCAGCATTGTCTGCGGATTCCACGGAACGGGAAGAAGAACGCCCTTCGAAGCTGCCCAACCTACGAGCGGAGCCTTCAGCCTTTGCTATGGTCCTTGTCGGCGCGCGAGAAGTTGGAGGAGGAGAGGACCACGATGACGTCCCTATACGCAAACCAATCTCACATAATATCGACGTCATGCGGTTTTTCGGTCAGAGTCTTATTAACGCGTTTGATTTTTCAGAACCGAGTCCGGACGATGTTGTTATGAAGGCGCGGGAGCCAGCTAAAGGTTTGTCAGGAGTTCGCACAGCAAACCCGCGTTAAACCATTTTTTAAAAGTGAAGCTTTGAGGTTGAGATGGTGAACAGAAAAAGAGAAAGAAAAAATCCTAACCATTTTCTGGTGTTTCTTTTTTTTACCGTTTGTGTAAAAAAAATACAGGCAATAAAAATAAAACGAAACGTACCGCTGCGAGTAAATCGTCGCCAAGCAAAACTGATGATGTGACGGATGCCGTTGGGCAGCTGTCTGTGCAGGAGACGGTGAAGGTCAAGAGCAAGAATATCGATGTGCTGGCTGAATATAGCAAGTCGGATAAGAAGAAGGCTGCTAATTTTGTTGTCATCGGTATGGAATTTTATAAAAGGCCACTCTACTGAACACAAGGTGGGGAAAGGACCCGGCTAATTTATGCTCCTTGTTTTATAGGCCATGTTGATGCAGGGAAAAGTACATTGATGGGACGATTGCTTTATGAACTAAAAGCCGTTGACCAGCGGACTATTGATAAATACAAAAAGGATGCCGATAAAATGGGCAAAGGCTCGTTTGCGCTGGCTTGGGTCCTGGATCAGGGATCAGAAGAACGGGCGCGCGGGGTCACGATCGATATAGCTACGAATCAATTCGCGACGGAAAATACCAACTTCACTATCTTGGATGCGCCGGGTCATCGCGACTTCGTACCCAACATGATTGCTGGGGCCAGTCAAGCTGACTTCGCAGTACTGGTCCTTGATGCTACGACTGGAAACTTCGAATCGGGCCTTCGGGGCCAGACAAAGGAGCACGCGCTGCTCGCCCGAAGCATGGGCGTACAAAAGATAGTCGTGGCAGTGAACAAGATGGATGCAGCCGAATGGTCCCAAGGCCGCTTCGACGAGATCCAACAACAGATCTCCTCTTTCCTAACCACAGCCGGCTTCCAGGAGAAAAACATATCCTTTGTCCCCTGCTCGGGGCTACGCGGCGACAACGTCGCCCAGCGCGCCCAGGACAAGAACGCAAGCTGGTACACCGGCAGGACGCTAATCGAAGAACTTGACACCTCAGAACCCTACACGTACGCGCTTGACAAGCCGCTACGCATGACCATCGCCGACGTCTTTCGCGGCGGTGTGCAGAACCCGCTCTCCATCTCCGGCCGCCTAGACGCCGGCCACCTGCAGGTCGGCGACCAACTTGTCACCATGCCCAGCGGAGAAAAGTGCACGATCCGGAGCCTGGAGGTCGACCAGACACCCAGCGATTGGTGCGTAGCGGGGCAGAACGTAACCCTGCACCTAACAGATATCGATCCTATACATCTGCGGATCGGAGATATCCTGTGTAGTCCGTCCGCGCCGGTGAAGAACATCACCTCGTTCACGGCGAAGGTGCTGGCGTTTGATCATCTGACGCCGATGCATATTGACGTGCACCGGGGCCGGTTGCATGTGCCCGGGCGCATTAGTCGACTGGTTGCGCTGCTGGATAAGGGGAGCGGGATGGCAGTGAAGAAGCGGCCGAAGATTGTGGGGCCGGGAAGTGTTGCGAGGGTCGTCGTGGAGATGGAGGCGGCGATTCCGCTGGAGGCGCCTGGGAGGGTTGTGCTTAGGGCTGGGGGGGAGACGGTTGCGGCGGGGTTGTTGGAGTGAGGTTTTCTCTTTACGCTGCTGTTGTTTTTCTCTCGATTTATATGGATATGATTGAGGTGGGATACATAATGATATATAGACATTTTGCGGGGTGATTTTGGTAGAAAGCCTGGGTGCGATCAAATATATGGAATGCTAGAGTTATAGTTAGCTAACCCCCCAACAATAGCGAAGTGAAGGCCATGATTGAACCATTGCCGGTCTCACTTATGAGACAGATATTTGACTTGGCTCTGGGGAATCCGACAGAAAGGACAGGTTTACAGATTATGGATATGAATAATATTAATTGAGGAACAAGAATGTAACTAACACCACAAAGTGGACAGGCTGTCCACAATAGCCGCCACGGGTTTCATCTCGAATACATTTTCTTCCAAGAAGTGTCCTCTTTTAACCATTTTCTATAT